ATATCAATTCATACTTAGTGCCTGTAGCACTTGACCACGACAAACAAAAGAACAAACAAACACGTCCTGACATCCCATTAAGAAGAAGGGGCTGGGCCTCTTCTGAACGAAGAAAGAAGTTGTTTGGCGACGGCCCGACGGCCGACGACGGCGATGTTCGCAGTCAAAGTAGTCAATAGAGTCATAAGCTATAGTCGGCGTAGGGGAGAAAGGGGGATTTTCAGACAGCAGCCAGAGGACCCAGTCCCAGAGCCTGCATCACAGTACCAGGCGGACAGAAGGCGTAGTCCACGCGGAAAGCCAGGACATACTTGCCATTATGCGGCTTCTGCTTAGGCTGCACCTCGGACTGGTGACATCGATGGCATCGACACACAATTCGAAGGATGGGTCGTACGAAAGTGATATACAGTCAAGCCACACTGCTACCCAGTTGTGTACTGTACCTGGGGGGGGGGAAGGTGGGCCAGCTTGCGGGTGGCGGTGCACCCCGCCTCCGGTCGGGTCCCCAAAGTTCCAGACTTCCAGTACCTTTACACTCTACCCACTTCCCGTCGTACCCCCCGGATCCTTCCCCACAACACTCAACGTCATCCAATAATCAACAGGTGAGATCCATGCTATGTCCCGCAAAGATGGAGGATCATATCTGATCCATGATTTCTTTTCCACTTGACTAGGAATCCAGTCCCTCACTTGCCCAGAATCACGATGGCAGAAACCGGAGAACACGTCAAGGATCGCAAGAACCAGAAGGAGGAAAACCCACCCCGCCCTCGCTGCCGGGACTGGATGGTGGTGTCCGGCACGAACCACTACGGCAAGAATCGCGCGTCCTTCAAGTCGTATCGCCCAGTGAATCGCATGGTTCCAAATCCACTGTTCCCGGGGAAAGAGCTGTATATCGCAGGAGTCGGCACAGTGGAGCTGAACGTGCGTGCCAGCCCGGAGGAAGGTTCCCCCACCCGCACTCTGGTCTTGGACAATGTTCTGCACATTCCGGTCGCTGTCTGCAATGGTTTCTGTTGGGGGCAGTATCATACGATCCATAAAGGGACAATCAGCTTTGGTGCGGTTTTCCAGGGAACTGACGGACAAGGCGCTGCTCTTTGGTTTGGGCAGCCGTTCTGTGGACTCCATAAGCTGGCTCTCGCGGGGAATCCGCAGGGAGAATCCTATCTCAATCCCGACGGGGCCCACATGCTCAGCCTCTATATTGACGAGCAGGATCTTCAGAACATTTTGCCGTCAGGTTAGCTCCTTTGCCTCATTTGAACCCCGCCTCCTTCCGGTTAATGCCACTATTTCCTGTCATGAACAGTGTGCTGGATCCAGGCTGATTGAAAGCTTCGCTCAGATGTCTAGGGAACTGAAACAATGCTGCTCCTACTGATCGGATTTGTATCGACATCACCAACAGGCTACCGATCGGAGGCGCTATGGAAAGGGGCCGATCCTCCAATGAAATGAAGTACCAGAAATCAGAGGGTCATTATTCGCCTCCATGCTTATAACTACAGCAACCTCTATTTCATATTGATCCTAGCTACTAGTCTATCTCCAGTGAAGAAGAGACAAATGAATACATGACTAGGTTCATACGAGATAATTCTAGGAACAGTAGTACAGAGAAGCATTTTTAAACCCTGCTTCGATGACTCTGTCGCTCACATCGCGAAGTAATTTTATCTTTACGAGAATCGAAACTACTTGCTGGTAAAAAGACTCGGCATCTTTTCAACCTGCCTCCTAGATCCTCGCCAGATTTAAGACATCCTGTCTTCTACTTCACGCCCTTGTTTGTCCCCTTGACTGGCAGTGAATACCATTTGCGACAGCTATTGCCACTGAATCTATAGAGGCTCTATGTAGATCTAAATGAGCGTGCTTAATCAGGTTAGACCACTAGCTAGCCCGATCAAGACACTGCATCCGGTGGTCGGGATTTCGAATGGTAAGAACTTTGGGTTTTAAACTCGGGCGCCCGCGGAAGGGGAGGGGGGAGGTAGGCTATGCAGAGGCAAGATGACATAGCTAGCTAGGCAATTTGTAAAAAAGATTGTATTGAGATCTCATAGTGTTCGTGACTAAACAGCATCTTAGCACGAAAGTGTCCCAGCAGGAGACATCGCTTGCTAAACCCGCACAAGCAGACTGATACGATCAACCTGACACCCCGGCATAAGGTACGCAATGTGGACCAACGCGATGGGCTTGAAAGTGTGGGGCAACCTTATCAAAGCCAAGATCCATGGCTCAATTACGCATTTCCACCATTTTCAGCAGGCGCAAAGCAAGATTCCTTTCCTCGCGTGTCCCGACACATTGTTCCTCCCTCTGATTCCGTGCCACTGCTAAGTGGCGTGTCCCCCGACTCAAGATCTCGAAGGCGCCGAGACCACGGTATAAACCAATTTGTCAATACCGAATAGTCTTCCTGCGGTGTCACGAATCATACCACTGTGGGGCATCATTTTGGTTATACAGACCAATTCTTGTGTGGACGGATATGTACCAGTGATCGTGGAGAGATGGACAATATATTACTCATGTGTATCAGCCCTCGCACAGAGATACTCCTATGTTGGTACGGACTCACTGTGGCTCGGAGCGGGCGTTCACCCGCAGACAACTATTATAGCAGGCCCAACCGACGATGAAAAGTTATGAAGCCGAGAGGGGAGATGATCAAACAACAAAAACTGTCCAGGGGAAGCTTTCCTTGGTGATTGCAATCCCCAGTTCAACCGTTGACGCAGCCATTGGAGTGGGGGCTCATAGTTGCTTGTTGGGATTTAAGTTTCGAAGTTAACAAGGGGCTTGAACATGCAGCCGTTTATTTCACTTCGAAAAAGTGGGTTCGATCTTCGGAGTAGAAGAGTCTTCGAATTGACGATGCTTTTGACAAGGGAACGGGGTGGAAAGAACTGGGGTCCGAGTTTCAAGTGAGGCTCACCTTCGCGTGCGATCCTGTAGGGAAGGAACTGATTGCTACCTAGTACCTAGGCCGGAACGACTTCCCCTGAGCGAAAAGGGCTTAAATAGGTGATTAGTATTGAACTGGAATGGAGTGGAATGAGTATATTAAGAAATAATACAAGCCAGATTACTTGAGGTCAGGGCTTCCAGGTTGAAACAAGAGGAATTGATTTTGACAGACTTCAGAAACCTGGGAGCAAGTATTCGAGTATCGACTGCGTGAACGTGTGATGGACGCCAGCATCAAGCATGTATGACTCGTCCTTCCAACCCCGAAACAGCCAATTTCAAGCCACAAATACATGAAGAAGGAAGCACAGAGGCAATCAACTTTGATTGATCAAGCTTCTCTCCCATTCTTCCTGCTATGGCACAATGCCCTATGAGATCCCTCGATTAGGGCTCAGAGGATTCCAAGTGGCGCTTGTCCAAAACAGGCTTAGCCTGGCCAGACCTGAGTGGGGGCTTTCCTGCAACTTGCAGCCACCATTCTGCCACAATGAAGAAGAAAGAAAATGCCATTGGGTGCGTGATAACTGTCGAAGATCATCCTCAGGACAGATTCTGTCCTAGTCAATTGAAAAGGTCTGCCAGTGAAAGTTGATCCAGTGCCCAAACCAATGAGATCCCAGGATCATATGCGGGAAGCAACCTGTGAAGCAAACAGACCCGAAGCGAGCGAATGGATGCACCGGATCAGGAAAAAGTAATATAATCTCAACGTTTTGCAAACAAACATCCCATGACCTCATCAAGAGTCACTCTGTTTATTCCTGGGTCGAGAAAAGTTGGGGGGTGCTGGTATGACCTATAAGTCGGTGTTGTGATACTGCTCCACCAAAGCATACATATCATGTTGACCAGTCACCCGCCGGGAGATACACAAAACCCTATATATACCGCACCCCTTCTCGAACCAGTCGCTTTTCCAATCCTACCGTTCTCTGGTACACGCAACCTGGTTTTTGAGTTAAAGTTAAACGCCATCATGCCTATCAAATCTTTAGACTTTCGGCTGTATTGCAGCGACAATGCGCAGGAGCGGCAGCGATTCAGCGAGGACTTATGTGAGACGCTTTCAGTGTATGGGTTCGCCAAGATTCGGAACTCGTCCCTTTCCCGGCAGATGATTGACCGATTATTTGAGTTTGTGAGTTTTGGATTGCACTATAGAGACAAACAGCATGGCAGAAACGAGAACGCTGACTTTGAACCAATGCACTCAACGAAAGAATAAACGCTTTTTCGACCTGCCGAACTCAAGTAAAGCCAAAGCGGCACATCCAGAAGCCCCGAATCCTCATCGCGGATGGAGCGCAGTAGGGAAAGAGACTCTCAAGGGTACGAGGGACGATGAGCAAGGGAAGAAGCTGAACGATGGCTACCAGGAGTATCGGGTATGATTCCCTTCAATCAGTTGAAACTACCTTTCCAATAGCCCAATCAAACGCATTATATCATGTTTGACTCACATAAAATAGGAATCCTTCGACCAAGGCGCCGCCAGCGACACCCTCTTCCCCAACCGCTGGCCGGATGAGACAGATCTCCCGGGCTTTCGCGCGTTCATGGAGGATATCTACGACCGCTTCCACGAGCTGCACACCCACCTTCTGCGCGCCATCACAGCCGGGCTCGGCTTATCGATCGATGATCACTATCTCCTCAGCAAGCACCAGTGCAACACCAGCGAGCTGCGCCTGCTGCACTACCCGGCCATCCCGCGCCGCACGATGCGCGCCGGCGGCGGCATGCGCATCGGCGAGCACTCCGATTTCGGCACCCTAACGTTGCTCCTCCAGGATTCCGTGGGCGGCCTGCAGGTTGAGGATCAGCGTCATGGCCCGCTCGGAAAGTTCATACCGATCGGGTCCGAGAATGTCTACGAGGTGATCGTCAATGTCGGGGACTGTCTGCAGCGATGGACGAACAGAGCGCTGCGATCAGCGAACCACCGCGTCACCTTGCCAGAGGCAAAGGGTGCAGCTGAGGAGGACGATGAGAATGCGATGCTACCCCGGCGGTACTCGGTGGCGTACTTCGGGAAACCCGATCGCCATGTGTTGGTGGATACGCTGCCTGAGTTTGTGCGCCCCGGGGCCATCCCGGAGTACACGGATGGCTTGACGACGTTGCAGTATAACCAGCTTAAGCTCGCGCGCACCTATGGATGAGCTATCAGGCGTAATCGCATGATTGTCTGTGCTGTCTGCTCTGAGCGGTGTTTGTTGTTAGATGTATTTACTGGCTTGATGAGACCAATAACATGCTCCAGAGGTTAAGGCGAGAGCATGATGCGGTGGTCACTCTATGATGGGTAGAGAATTGTCTGAAATGATAAGATCTAGAGGGAGTAATGAGAGTTGATGGTAAAAATAGGCATATCTTATAGGTATACATCAATCTATGGGAACATATCAGTGCAACGGAGCGCTTTTGTGAGAGGAGCGGTTGCCTGAGCAACGGAGCCTACAGGCAGACAGTCAAGGGTGTGACAACGTGTCAGATGATTTCCTTATTTCTCCTCAATTCTCTCTACTGCCGGCCTAACATTCTAAAAGAGAGTTCCTCGGAAGACTTCGGGGTCGGCATGTATCATTCTTTGCGACTGCCCTCAAGTCGCACTACCCTAGGACTCAATTTAAAAGCCTCATTCCGGCGGTCACGAATTACAAGATTCTTCTCGATATACTGTGCGAGGGGACGAAGGTCGGCCTCAACACTGCCCGAGTTATTTTTAGAAAGAGCAAACGGAATACGTATAGTCCCCCTTGAGAGAGGCTAAATTTCGACTACATATCTGGGTGGCTGACATAGGTGGTTTAGATGAGAGCATCCCCGAAGAGGACCTGTATCGATACACTAGACATCGATGGCTGTAAGAGACGGATGACCGTACCCACCTCATTATGGTAATTCATAGTGACCATTTGCAATATCACAGCTTCAACGAACAGCGTGAGCTCTCAAAGCGATACCTGAAGTTCAACTTGCGGCAGCTCATTGACATTGCTGTCAATATCAGCGATGGAGCTCGACACTGTATGTTCTACCCCCCCAGGCAGCCGTCGTGAAGTAAAGCTTATTCATCATTTCCCCCAGGCACAAAGATCGTCAAATGCTTAGAGGGCCTGCATAACAAAGCATTTCTGCTGACTATGGACAACGGAAATGAAGTCTTGGCAAAGCTTCCGAATCCCAACGCCGGACCAGCCCGATACACCACCGCCTCGGAGGTAGCCACACGCGAGTTGGTAAGATCAGCATGCCCTGAATTTCTCTGGCTGCGATGGCTCAGTCTTGCAGTTACGTGCTTATTTCAACATCCCAACTCCACGGATCCTCGCATGGTCTTCAGATGCAGCTAGCACTCCTGTTGAGGCGGAGTATATCATTGAGGAGAAGGCCGCTGGTGTGCGACTGGGTTCTCTCTGGAACCAATGGCCACGTGATACGAAGCTCAAGTTGGTTGAGCAAGTCGTTGGCATGGAGAATAAGCTGACTAGCATGGCTTTCGCTAAGTACGGTAGTATCTATTTTAAGGAGGATCACCGTTCACTAACTGGACAGGTGGAAGACCTGAATGATGACTCAAGTGCCGACGAAGTGCTAAAGCGCTTTACAATCGGCCCCCTTACTTCACCCGAGCTATGGACTGACACTAGAAGTGACATGGAATTAGACCGTGGCCCGTGTCAGTGGACCAACCCCTTCCTCCTTTGTAAAACATTCGCTAACCGTTTTACGCACAGGGCATAATTCATCTGAGTACACAGAAGCATTAGGCCGCAACGAGATCTCATGGATTGAAGCGCATGCACGCCCTCGCATGAATTACTATCGATCTGTATCGGATCCGGAGCTTCTCGAGGACGGCCCTCACCTTCTCGACCAGTACATGAAAGTCGCTCCGTTCCTGGTCCCTTCTTCCACCGATGGGGCTGCCAGCTCTAACGTCCTCTGGCATCCAGACCTTCATCTGGATAATGTATTTGTGGACCCGCTCACACACACCATTACCGATATTATAGACTGGCAGTCAGCATGCGTGGCTCCTCTGTTCTACCAGTCTCATGTCCCGAGGATGTTCCGACATCACGAACCTGTCCAAGAAGGCTGGGCTGTTCCCGTACGCCCCGAGAACTTTGACACTCTCAGTGCGGAGAATCAGGATCAAATAAGCAGTGACCATGAGAGCCAGATCATTCATAAATACTACGAGGCGCTGGTGTTCAAGCGTGCCCCGCGGCACTGGTCTGTTCTTCAGCAGAAAAAAATTTCGATCGTCCGAAAACCTGCCTGGCTGATGACTGGAGTGTGGGAGAATAGAGACCTGTTCTTTTTGCGCCAATCACTCCTTTCGCTGGTCAACCTCTGGGAGGATTTTTTCCAGTTACCCTGTCCAATAGCATTCAAGGAGAAGGAGATCGAGCTTCACGCGAAAGAGGAAACCAACATGGACGGCATTGGACAGGTGCTTACGTTGTTTCGAGATCAAGGGGTACTCCCTGTAGATGGCATGGTCGACCCCAAGGACTATGAAGTCGCCGTGGAGAATAGTCGCAAGTTCAAGCACGTCTTTCTGGGAACGGCTGAGAATGACAAGGAGAGGGAGTTGTACTCCAAGCTTTGGCCTTATCAAGACCCTGAAGACTCGGTAGTCTAATGTCGAGCAGGGATGGAGATTCAAAGCCACGTGCTAGGATACTATCGACGTCAGGAACCTATGAAATAATGTTAGTTTGACTTTAAATCCGTGATGTTCTTTGGCAGTTCTTGTGTATATATCTTGGCAATCAGTCGCTGACCGGCACCAAGGTTTTTATGCTCTATTGGGGATTTTCACCCAGAACCAATGTCATACTCAATTCTTGGAATAGATCGCTAACAACATGAACTGGAGGTAGGAAGTGCCAAGGGATCGACCTGCACTTATCCCTAGCCGGTCTCTGGCTCAGGTCTCGACACAACCTAGCATGCCGGCAGCATGTCAGCCATAACATAAACACACAACATGCAGGAAGAGAAAGTGACATCAACTAAGCTACAACTGTCTCCACATAGCCACATTCCGCATGAAAGTCCCGCAAGTCAGAAGGTTAGGGGACCCGAAAGTTCGAGGATCGACAGGACAGACTACGTAAGGAATGTAGGTTGGGGAATGCCATTCCACCAGGGTGCAATATAACATCCCGGCGGAACCCCGAACCCCAAGCCCCCATCGCGTAGACAAGTTCCCGCGCGTACAATAAAAGCCCATAATCAATCAGGTCTCCCCCGCCCCCCGAAAATGCGATTCCTTGCCATCCTACCCCTAGCCACAGCGGTGACGGCTTGCCTGCACGACCGCACCTTGGCTCGCCGTGCCGCGCAGGCGGGGACTCCGAGCTTTGGATACTCGGGCGCGCAGGGCCCCCTAAATTGGTACGGGCTCGACCCGCAGACGAACGCGGCCTGTGACCTGGGCAAACAGCAGTCCCCCATCGCGATCGACTCGAAGACCGTCACCCTGATTGATTCCAGTGCCGTGTCTCTGGACATCCCCGACGCCGACCATGTCGAGTTCGAGAACCTAGGATACACGCTCGAAGTCGTCCTCCCCAATGGCACCCTGACGGCCCAGGGCAAGCAATACACGCTGGCGCAGTTCCACTTCCACACCCCTTCCGAGCACCGCCTCGACGAGGAGCACTACCCGTTAGAGGTGCATTTCGTGTTCACCGACGAGAGTGAGTCAAATCCGTCCCCACCCACCAAGCATTTGGGTTGTGTGTTCATAGATCGTTTACAGCCAACGGGATCGCCGTCGTCGGCTTCGTCTTCCAGCTCTCCGAAACCGGACACTGCGACTCACTCTTCAGCTCCGTGTTCGCCGACGTCGAGGCGATCAGTGAGCCCGGGTCCGCGACGGAGATCGAGTCCCTAGACTTCTCCGACTTGACGAAACATTTCCAGGGCCACGAGGTCTACACCTACGGGGGCTCGCTGACCACCCCGCCCTGCAGCGAAGGGGTGTCGTGGTTTGTCAGCGCGGAGCCCTTGTCCTTGGATGTCCAGCATTACAACCAAGTCAAGCGCTTGATCCGCTTCAACTCGCGCTATACCCAGAACGTGCCCGGAGATGAGAATCTGTTGGAAATGGCTGCCAGGGAGTTGAACGGGTTGTGAAGTGGTGCCTTTGAGACATCATCATACGGCGGTAGGAATGTGCCATTTGCCCTGCACTCGGCAACCCGGGTTTTTCCTACGTACAGGCAATGCGTACAGGCTGCTTAGACGACGCATCAAGCTTTTCCAATGTCATTGAGAGAATGGCAGGATTAGAAGCTTATAAAGTAGACAGAATTCAGAATACATAGCATAATGGATAAAACCATAGGGCCTCCCATCTGCTTACCTATACTCAGGTTCTATACTAGAAGACTGGCTAGCTTTGCATTTTGAAATTCTATTCATTCCACAATTGGTCAGCTGTTTATGATTGATAATTGAGGCAGATATTATCCCGCTATGGATTTTGTTTCTAAAAACTATTTTACATTTTTTCCCGAAGAATCAATACACGTAGCCATCGGAAAAGTGAGCTCCAAAGATTGACAAACTGAGTGGCAAGCGATCGGTCAGACGCAATTATGTTGCCGATAATCCGGCCGAATCGATGTGGCTTCCTAGTATGCTTTCACGGAAAAGGAATAGGCCCGAGACTTCGTTGATATAATCTGGTAGAGGGCGCGCAGGATCCCCCAACTCATAGGAACCCGAGCGGACGTTAGATTTTGCAGCTGGCAGCGTGAAACCCTTCTCGTGAAGCACGATACCTCTCGATCCAAGGTCTATGGTAATCGCTCCTCCTTGCGCTGAGGACGAAATCTGAAGCTAATGAAACACAGCCAGCTAGTTATACAACGTTCAATATGTACGCAGCTTGTGTTTAGAGGTGGAAAGGCCGCTCTAATTCTTCAAGGTGTCACGTTTACCGTCTCGTGTACGCGTGCGGGTGTCGTGTCAAAGACCCTTACAAGTTCTACCAGTGTATTGACCGTTAGGGGACTACTGCCAGGTGTGACCCGATAAAAGTGTTCGAGCTCGAGAAAGACCATTACTGCGCCAAGCACTTGGTGGGCAGAGGGGCGGTGATTATGGCTAGTTCTCGGAGGCGGCGATTGTTGTCTGAGGAGGAGGAGGAGGAGGAGGAGGAGAAGGAGAAGGAAGAGATGGAAGAGGAAGAGAAAGAAGGACAGGAATAAGGCAAGTGAGGATGAGGATGATGTTCTTGGCTCAGATGACGAGTTAGCCATTGAGAATCAGAATGAGTTTATCCAAGTATACCTGCTAAACGGTCAATTCGTTACACAGGTGACCTACAGTAAAGTAATCGTACAGTATCTACCCCACCGGTGCTGGGTTTGTCGTCCGCACGGCCATCAGTACCGAGAGACCCCGCATATGAGCTCACTCAGGTCTCATTCAGTTATCACATAATTAGCTCTTATATGAGCATGAGTCTCTTGAAGGTGGACACACCACTGCACTGTTCTACCAATCTTTACTCCAAGATGTCATCTGGGCTAGCCTATCGCCTGGAGGAGCCGGGCATGAACGTCCTCAATCTCTACTCGGTCCCGAGGGCGCCTTTCCGACGCGCAGTGAAACGTTATCGAAAAGAAATCCTCGAGCATCAACAAGCCCAACGGCAAGAGCAGCCATGCTACCAGCCGCTCGCTTCAACTTCTCTCCGGAAGCAGAAGCAGCAGCAAGAGTCATCATGGATCCTCCTACCGCTAGAGATCATCCGAATGATCCTTCTCGACCTAGACATGCTGGCCCTCAGCCATCTTCGGTCCGTCAACAAGACCACCAAACAGATAATCGACTCCCTGCCAGAATACCACCTTCTCCAAACGCATGCAGCCGACACCCTACGACTACTGGATCTCACCCAGTGCACCCACCATTTTTCGCTGGGGCAGCTCTACCGGGAACTCCGTCACTCGCGGTGCCGCACCTGCGGCGACTTCGGCCCCTTCCTCTACATCCCGACCTGCTCCCGCTCGTGCTTCGCCTGCAACCGCACCCACCGGCAGTACTGCATAGCACCGATCGAGGCCGTGTTCCAGTGGTACGGCCTCTCGCTCGACAACGATTGGCACCGTCTTCCCGTCATCCGGACCCCTGATTTCAACGGGTGGGCCTACCAGGAGAAGATGCTGGTCAGCATGGCCCAGGCCAAAGCCTTGGCCCTGCAGCTGAATACCCCCCGGGTGCGACGCTGGCGAGCCCGCCCAAGGCGCGACGGCAGCTGGATACCCCTCCCGCCGAGATACTCGAAAACCTGGGGTTCTCCATGGCGGCTTTCGGCGACGGTGGCGTTCCCATACTACGACCCGGTCGCTCGCTCGGTTGAGACCGGGGTGTATTGCTTGGGGTGTGTCAAGTACTGGGAGAACACCAAGCCGACGACGCAGAAGGACGACGTGTCCGGCATGCCAACCACGTGGGAGGAGGACTACAGCGCGGCATGGGGGACGACGAATCGCACTCCCGGGTGTAAGGATATTGATCGGGCGTTCTTAGTTCAGGATATGCCGGAACACTTCCGCGACTGTCCGGATGTCTCGCGGAGCCGGAGGCGCGGGAAGATTGCGTGGAGGTTTGGGAGGCCTGTGGGCATAACCTTTCGCATAAGTGCTGAGGGTGGGGCGGTTTTGAGGCGGTCGAACCGGCTGAAGAAGTAGTGATAATTGGAGCTCATGTTGAAGTAAAGAGGTTGGGAGATTTTCGAAGTCGGTTGTGCTGTTTCCTCCACTTGGCCTCCTCCTCTAAGAATTATATTGGTCTGAGTAAAGGTTTTTTCTTTTCCTACCTTTTTTTTTTCATTCTCTCGCTCTTTTTCGTGTGTTCCCAATGATCAGCTCGTAGTCCAACCGGGATAACGCCTACCAGAAACCCGAGCTCCGGTCACCTGCATCGTGCGTTGGTCCCATGGGAGGGCTGGTGTTAACTTGGGCCGCTAATGAAAGAGCTTCGTTGTCCACCCTGCGATGCTGCCGGTGATGCTTAACACGAAGCTCCTGCAGCTCCTTCAATTACCACAGGAAATGTGCGATAACCATAAACCTTCTCTGCCCTCACTCAACCTGGACACATAATCATCCCTGCTATCCGGAGCTGCCTCACACCGAGTCTAATGCTTTATTCTCCGAGAGATTATTGTTGTGCTTCTTGCGGGGAAACTACTAGTATGACTGGACAAGTTCAACACTGTCCATCACGGCCCCCGCCGACCCGGCCCTACCGATGACGACCCTTCAGCTTTCCCCCTTTGCGTGACAGCAGAATTGCATAACAAATGACATCCTCATGACGCCCACCCTTTGGTCGAAGGCAAAAAAGAACAAGAGAATGCCGCGACTGGGACTCGAACCCAAAATCTGCACGCCACACCGCTAGCATAAGGCTAGTACGGGGGCTCTGCAATGTTAATACACTACACCACCGCGGCTGTTGTTGTACAGTTGTACTCGAAACGAACTGATAGCCCCACTTTTCTTGGTGCCTGAGGCATAAACTCAGCCCTATACCAGCCCCAGGAATGCCCTAGCCCTCCAAATTTTGGTTCATGGTTAATTTCGATCAATCTGGAAGTATTTGGAATCAGGATTTGGAAATCTCACTAGCAGAGTTGCGGTGGAAATACACGGCATGAGGCCCTGATTCCAAAACGCATAGCGGCAGCTGAACTCCCTCTCACTACGGGCAACGCTAATCCTCGCCAAGATCTTCAACCCAGACGAGAACCCACATTTAATCCACACTAACCTGCAAGCGATGCTGGCCTTTCCCATAACTATCTGACTGAGACTTTAGGCTAATCCACACTTATCCTCACAGCCTCGTCGTTAACCGGATCCGGCAGGACCCCCTGAATCGAGCTGAGCCCAAGGTGTGGAGATAAGCGGTTCGCTCCGACTCGCGCTATAGCCTCGTGCTCGCCCTGATTCGTTTGAAGTTATGGAGTACTCTGCCAAGGGTCTTGGGGACCTAGAAATCACATCTAGATGGAGTACTTAAATCCCTTGCTTCCCCGTTAGCTTTCAAGATTGTCCGGTTGAGCGTCAGCGATCAACTCCACTCGTTTACTCCCGCTGCGAATCCACTCTTTTACACTTATTTCACTTTCATTCATTCATTACTAGCTTCCCACAGTGCGGAAGTTCAGACAACATGAAGCTCGCACTCACCCTGCTCCCCGCATTGGCCGGTCTCGCCGTCGCCGAGGAGGTCGTCTCCATGCTCCTGTGGGCCGTGGATCGCGATCAGGACTATGAAGCGTCGATCGTGGGCAATGTAAGTTCATCTCACCTCAGCATATACGTAGCACTCAAAATAAAAAAAAATAGAAGAAACATCAAAGAGAACGCTGACCCGGTATATGAGCAGGACGCAACAGCAACAACCTACAGCCTCGCCTGCCCCACCTCCGTGTCTGGGTCCGCCTGCTCCATCGGCCGCGCGGGGATCACCGCGGAGATCGTTGACCAGAGCACGTATGCGTGGTGGCGTCGACAATAGTAAGGGATACCACACTCGCTCCTTTTCATCATAACGAGTTCCATCCTGTATGATTCTTGAAATTCTCGAAACATGCTGACATCATTCCTCGATTCCAGTTCCACTACATGGGCCTGTACCGCAGATGGTACGACAGATGGGGTGTGTCACCGGACGCTGAGCGGCCAAGACCAGGGATTCGACATCTATTTCACGAATTTCCTGTCGGCCACTGTTACCGCTGGGGCTGTTACCGGTGGGAGCGGGGTTTCGGAGACAGCGAGCGCGACGAGCACTACTCTGGCGCATGCGAGCATGTCAACGGACTCGGCTAGTGCATCCCAGGAATCGCTGAGTTCCACGATCACGTCGGCTCCTACGACTACTGCCAGTGCAGATGGGGATGGTGATGCTACGGTGACCCAGACTTCAACTGGAGGTGTTCCGCGAATCACTGGAGCTGCGGGGCTGGTTGTTGGGGGCGCGGCGGTTGCGCTGATGGGGGCTGTTCTGTGATCATCTAATACGTACTACCTATCTAGTCTCTTGGGGCTCGATTGCGTTCGGTCGTAATTTTGACATTCATGATAAGTTTGTTGTCCTCTGGTGTGCAAGGTAGGCGCTCTCCAGTCTCCTGCCGCAATCGCAGCAGAGCTCACATATTCGGCTCGTGAGGGGACCCGAACCGCGCTCGGATCCACCCTGCTGCGGTAGGAGCCACGGGATGACGGCCGTGCGTGGGCTATCTGAACAATGACCAGAAAGCGAGCCACAAAAAAAAACATAGCATGTTGCCGCAACACCGTTAGACGTGGCTTGATCACAGACATAGTAGTAGTGGACCCGAAAGAATATGCACTCGCGTGAATGGTCCAATTTCCTCACTCTTATTTAAAGGCTCCTTACATGGACATCAAGTCCGGACACATCCCCGACATATTTCTCCCGTGTCTTTACATGACGATAAAGACGGCATTGAAGGAAATGGTTGAGACAGTGGCATCGGAGACCATGCCGAGTTCGGCCTTTGCGGTAATGTCTCACCCCAGAAGCAGAACCACAAACTCTCGGAAAATGAATCATTCGGAGTGCAACGCATCTCTAGAGACCTGGGATATGAATCCATACCGGATAGCTGAAATAGAAACAAAGTTTGCTAGTTCATAGCGCATATCCAATAGCAGCTGTAAGAAGCCGTAGGAGCATTATACAAAGCACCACCGGCAGCATGGGTAAGGTGTCCAACAGAACCCAAATGATGAGTCACCCCAAGTTACGACAATCACCCATGGGACCAACACAAGATGCAGATGACCGGAGTTCAAGTCTCTGTCACGCATTGTCCTGGTTGTTTCAAGGGCTGAATGTTCGCCTTGGCTAGATATTTCACTTTCCTCGAGAGTTGCTTATGCTGATTTTAGTTGACCGGATGTAGATGACAACTCGCAGATCTCGAACCAGATATACGAACAAAGAATTCGCAAATTCAGAGAAGAACTGATATTTATGATTGTACTAATCGAACAGCAACTGAGGTCAAGCTAGCATGGCTCACCCCTCAGGAACATCATGCTTACACTGAAAGGGAACAATGAAATCTCAGAATCCTTTCTAACATACGGAGAATGACCCAGCCAAGCGAACAAAGACTAGTGATGGTAGTAGGTCAACAACACAAACTAAGCTAGCATAACTCGTCCTCCGATAATCTCACATCCCTTCGGCTGAACCAAGAAGGGAGATAGATCGAACGGGCCGTCCGTCGAGGTTGGTCAGGGGGAGTAATCACCACCGGCCAACAGCCCTTGGAAGCGGTGTTGACAGTAAGATCAAAACTGGCCAAATACCGCCCGAGATCGGGGTTCCTCTTCATTTGATCGCGTCGCTCAGGCTTCCACATGACCTTATGCAGTTCGAATCCATTAGCAAAGCATAGGAACGGCCAAGGGGATGGTGTAAATGTTCCCGCGTCTATATAGTATACCACATTCTTCAATCGGAGGTAGTCTCCATTCGGTTTCCACCTCACGTGGCTATCGGCGGTCTCGCGATGCTTGCAGTACAGCAGGTCGGAACGTCTCGGGTTCCACAGACGGACAATGCAGTTGGGCGGCTGCTGGAGAAGCATATTCTGCCAACTGGCCTCGGGCCGGAGATACGCCGCTTCGCTCTTTTTAGACGCCATGTCGGGGATCTCGAAGCAGCAGACGGGTCCGGGTCGGGTGTATGAGAGTAGTTGGCGGTGGATGAACTCGGGCCAGCTTATGTCGGTGATGAGCGGGTTCTTGGTGCGTGGGTGTTGTGGCACTGGCGCGTCGACGGGAATATAGAACAGTGCTTGCTGGATCTTGCGGGAGGATTTGATAAGGGAGTTCCATGAATGGCAGACTCGAGCTGAGATCAATAGTGTGTATATATCCAGACCCAAAAGAATACCTTCTAGAATCTCGGGGACGTGGAATATTCTCGACGCTTCAGCATTAGACATCGAACGGTTGGGCTGGCTCTCATAATTGGGGGAGCGACTGCCTCTCGCGAACGTGGGTATCATGGAAAGACAAGTCATTTTGTATAGAACTGCCGGGATTGTATGAGTACGAGGTTTTTGGAAGGATGCGCTTTGGTCTAGGTGTAATGAGGGAACTCTGTTTTGGACAAATTTGGTGGGAAATGAGTCATTTTGCTTTTGGGTCAGAATAGCATCATTGCTTCATGGTTCCGTTCGATTGCATCATTGCCGGCTCACAATAGTGGCAGGTGCAGAGTTAGGCAGGAACCGAGGTCTGGTGGGTCACGTTGTCAAGGGGTCGTGGATGTGTGATCAAGTCAGCTACATGAAGCTATCTGGGCAGAACGACGAGGGCCTGACCTGCGGGCTCCTCCCTTGGCCGAAAGAATCGTCGAAGCGGCCTAAGTGAACCCGGAAGGGCCCGTATTCCCGCCTTTGAAGTATATTTCTGAGCGGCCGGAGGTCTAACCAAGCACCCGGCTTACAGTCTATTTAAGCACCAGTGTATATAGTTGTCCATAAGCCTGTGTATGCATCTTTCAGAGCCTGTTTACAAAGAGGTTAAACACAGGGCATACAGCTGTTTTGGGGGTTATTTACACGGCTACTTAAGTACCTATTCATATACTTTTTAGAGTATCTCTAGGAGGCACCTTCGGAAGCACATTTTCGGCATAGTTGGTACACAAACATATATGTCTTGATTCAGATTCACAATTATGATGGTGAGAATCAAGCAAGGCGGGGCCGGGAAGCCCGGCGAAAACGCGCGCCCAGCGAATCGCGACCTCGCTCAGAAAGGTGCATGGTGTAGTGATAATATGAGAGCAACTGTAGGTAGAAAGGCCTGCTCTGCTTGCAAAAATAGCTTTAAAGCATAAGGATCTCTCTCGTCTTAGACTTGAGGAAGTTGACATTGACAAAGCACGTGTAAAAGACACTATGTTGATTGAAAGGGGCTTATTGTGGTGAAACGCCGGTGTGTGACCGACGTTGATGGGGAGAAGATTACTTAGACAAACGGCGCCTGTATTTGATAAAAATTGCGTTCTTTTGATAAACAGTGTAGTTGGTAAGGTAGTGGGAAGCCTGTATAGCCTCATTGTCACTCTAAAAGCAATATGAGGCTTTGAAACAGCCTGCAGAAGGAGACGTTAATCAACACTTATGATAACGTGGTGTTTTCAATAAAAATTGGGTGAGAAATGATCACGAAGAGCGACGGCGCGTAAACTGTCCAGGATGTGAATATGTGATGACTTGTGAGGCTATCTCGGCGGAACTAACAACATCCGTGGCGAGCGGTGAGCAGCCTGGCTATCGAAGCATCAGAGCGCCGAGACCTGCATCACTCCAACAACAAAAGAACGGCTCCTTGCGCAAACTGACTGGGAACATGAAAGTGTGGATTCCAGGCTATCTGGGAGAAACTATCTACGACTAGTGCCGGAACTGATTACAGGTGAAAGACTCTGTTATACCCTCCCAGCTTCTAAGTGAGCCCTCGAATAAGGAAATATGAGGCCAAAGTAGATACAAAGAACCTTCCGGATAGAAGCTTGTAGGAATCACACAAACAAGAAATAGCAGCGTGGCAGATGTTGTAGTAAGAAAAGCTAACTTTGGGGATATATTCGTTAGGGTAACGAGAGCAAAAGTTTAGTATAAATGATGATTAACATGATAGGGATTCTAGGTATGTTTGTTTTTGGAAAGCTTTTGAAACTTGTAATGAGGACGTGAATTCCGACTACGTGAGGCTATCTGCGGAACTAGCTAAGAACCACCGAGTTGGGAGGTGAGCAGCAGCCTGGGCGAGGCCTCAGATCTGCCGTCAAATTGTATACCCTTACTTATATCAGTAAAGAATGAATTCAATACACCAACAGGTTGTCCTTAGGCTAACCCTCTCGGTGGCACTTGAGGTGATACCTGAAGGATCCTTTCTAGATTACATTGCAGATGTCATCTGATATCTTTTTGTATTACTGCCCTTAGGGTTCAAGATCAGGTTTTCTATGGTTTCCTCCGCGCCAAAGAATGTACTATCAGGGTCGCTTACCAGGAAATACTGCAAACAGAGCGTGGGCTGCTCATCTGATAAAGAACGTGAAGGCATAGATTCCAAGACCTACACTCGTCCCAGTCTCACTAGTCTTGTGAGACTAAGCTTTGTAGCTAACTAATTATTATTTGTCAGCGATTTGAGGTCTCAGGAATGGGCTATCTGGAACGCTTTCTTGAATTCTTGGTGGGTGGATTGGTTGAACTATCAGAGTTCTCAAGGTGGGCAACGCGCTTGGTGAAGGCCTTGAACCACGTGAGCTGGATTACTCAGGAACGCCGACAATATTGTGGAGGATCTTGTAGTGGTGAAGTAGCTTCATGACAGTCCTGCCTCGTTTTCAGCTGAGTCAATTAACTAATGCACGATGCATCACATGACACCTGGCGGTCGATGCTGACGGATAAATAGTAACTTGCGCAGAGCGCACGGTTCTTGACTCACTGATCCACATCAACGATGCCCTGCTCAAGTCATGTTTGATAAGAGAGACGAATAGGTGAGTATCTATCGCAACAATGGGCAACGAAGTCTTATGCAATCAACACGTGAATTGAGCTGAATCAAAAGAGGGTGGTAAGTCTACCCGCGCCTCGCCTTCACCGACCGCCACTCAATCCCCAAACTCCCCACCACCGTCGCACATGCCAACCCAACGACCAGATACCACGTCTGGACGATACTGCGATCGATCGCCCCGCGCGCCTCCGCCGCTTTGTCCGACGCCAACCCCGTCACGATCTGCGTGAGCCCCATCCGATCCACCTCCGCCGCACTCAGCCCGGGCACCACTTCCCCCAAATTCTGCGACAGCTAATTCACGAACAGCACCTGCGCGATTGCCACCGCGACCGCCGGCCCGAATGACTGCGCGAACAGCATCACCGACGTGCCCAGCGGCATATCCTCCGCTGGGAGAACGGTTTGAACGGCGTTCTGCGGGCCCGAGAATCCGATCCCGTATCCCAGACCCGAAAAACCAGTGTAAATAATCAGCTGCGCAAGGCTGGTGGTGAGTTCGAAGGTGGTGATCAGCCCCGCGGCAACGGGCATGATGATCGAGGCGATCACCATGAATGGGGCGTAGTAGCCAAAGACACTGGTGCCGAAGCCGTGGACCAACGCGCCGATGGTGCCTGCGATGATGATGGGCAGCATCATGTACCCGCTCTGGGCGGGGGTGTAGCCCCGCACGACTTGGTAGTAGGTGGGCAGGTAGTATTCGAGGACGTTGCCGGTGCTGTTGCCGCACATGATGAAGATGCTGCCGGCGATGATGCTGCGGTGTTTGAGGATGCGGAGGGGGAGGGCGGCGGTGTCGCCGCGGCGGACTTGGTTGTAGGTGAATGCGGTTATGAAGACGGTAAAGGCGACGAGGGGTCCGATTACTGGGCCACTGGACCAGGGGTACTTGGTTCCGGCCCAGGAGAAGGCAAGGAAGAGGCCAATTAGGGCGGGGACAAAGAAGAGGTTGCTGAGGAGGTCAAGCTGGGTGAGCTTTTGTTTGAGGGGTATGCGGGCGAGGTGGTCGGGTTTGGGCGGGTCGGAGAAGCAGCACGTCGTTAGAAGTAGGGTGACGGCGCCGATGGGCGCGTCGAGGTAGAAGCACCAGCGCCAGCCCAGCGACTGCACAATTGCCCCGCCCAGGAGGGGGGCGGAGAGCGTGGCCAGCCCTTCAATGGCGCTCATTATGCCCGTGAACATGGGTCGTCTGTGGAGAGGTGTGGAGTGGACGAGGATCACGAAGCATCCGGCCAGTAGACCCGCCGTGCCGAGGCCGGCGACTGCCCTCCCAACGATAAGCATGAGCGATGTCGCGGCTGCCCCACAGAGCAGTGAGCCTGCTATAGAGATGGCATTGGCGAGCAGAAAGACACGCTTGATTGAAAAGAGCTGGTACGCTCTACCAAAAACAAACTGGAAAGCGCACTGGCAAAGTCGGAAGGCGGAGGAATACCAGCCCACATCGGCAATGGTGTGAAAATGGTCGGTTATACTGGGAACGGCTGTGGCAACAATGTTCATGTCGATACTGATAAGAATGAGGACCGCAGCCACGGTGAGCATGAGCAGCCAGAATTTGGTGCCCGTTGTGTACTCGGGTTCGCCAGTTGGATCAGATATCCCATCGAATGTAGTATCTTGTCTGCTGGGAAGATTGTCATCGCTGTTGCTGTCAAGATCTCTTATAGTTTGAGCCATAATATGCAGGCTTCTTTATCAAAACAATCTTATTAATGAGGACGCTACAACTGCTGGGGACTGGGACGCTCCGATCCCTCGACGAGACTTGATAGCCTTGGCAAGGGTGATGACTAACAATGCATGCAGCCTCACATTATAGTTCACTCAATTATACCCAACTTACAATACAGTAGGCGAGCCCCTAAAGCCTTCTGGCTTGAACTCCACATACAACATTTGGTTTGCATACGACGTCCACATCTTCATCATACCAGACTGCTGAGGTGACTCCCTTGTCAATCAAACTCAATCCAAAAGCCCAGCCAGCACAGCACCAACCGCCGTGATCAACGGTGCATAACCCCAGTGACCCCATTGTCCCTGCCCCCACATCCAGCAGACCGCCCCATCGGCATAGGCCACCGCACTACCAGCCAGCAACGTCCACCCGAGCGACCTTCGCGTCCCGTAGAAGGAGGCGGCGTAAATGGCAAGACCCATGAAGATATCGCGGACGCCGTAGATGTGGACGAGGCTGTGGACCAGCTGTCGCTCGGGGTCTGTGGTGGGAGGTGCCCATTCGAAGAAGGTCAAGGCATGCTCGGGGCGGAGAAGCGCGTTGACCCCGAACCCGATGAAGATGGTACCAAAGGCGTTGGCGACGTGGGGGAGCGCGGTGTGTTGGGAGAGACGCATTTTCTGGTAATCAACCGGTGAGAAATCAAAGAAAGTTGGTGATGGGCCGAATGGTGTTGGTTGGACAGTTTCGTGGAATGATGAGTGGTTGGTTGATTAATGCAAGATAAGGATGAAGAGGGACAGTCGATGATGGGAGGGACGGGGACTGAAAGAAACGACCGGGCGGTGACCACCACAACTGCATGGTTACTACTACCTACACTCCCTACTGTGGCAGCCTTGCGGAAGGCCACCGCCAAGGAGGCCAAGCAGCCAAAACATGCCAAAAACCTTTACTTCTTGACAGGTCACAAATACTTCTATTGACATATTTGGTTCTCTTCAAGTCCGTATAGATCTCTACATCCTCATTGTCAAGTTGCTCCACCTGACAGAAGTGGGACTACCCGTCCGGTCCAGTTTGTTATCGTCCGATCCACATTCTACGGGTGCCCCGTGCATGGGGACTATGGCTCTCTACTGCACACATCATCCTGCAATCTCACCAGCGGCAAAGGTTCCGACCGTATGGAAGCCACATTTTGCGACTATCGAATTCTGATCACATTCGTCGGGTAACCTCTGGTCGATCCAGCCTTGTGACAACACCCGGAACTCTATGAGGTCCAGATCCAATCCTGTGAGGAAGCATGACAATACGATCCAACGCCTCGAGCGGGGTAATGTGAACCTTGCCCACGCCATCTCGGAACCCACCCTCTCAAGACCTCAAAGATACCGCCGTGCATCTGCAGGAAATCAATAGTTCCTGCAACTTCTTATCAGCTGCTGCGCCAATTCTCTGAAAGAAATCACAGCGGGGGCGGGCGTGTAATATTGCCGTTGATTGGGTTCCCGGTGACGCGAATGGGGATGACTTCACGGCTAATTAATCCTCCATCCCAGTACCTGTCGTGGTTGATGACCCTTTTCGGCGAGCTGCAGATCCAGGACGCCGTCGCTGCTGGCCTCATGTGGATCCCAACACTACATCTAGCGTCTTTGACCGGATTCGACCTAATGCGGCGCTGTCCCTGAGCGAAGACGTCAGACCAGAAGCCCGGAGGGTTAATTTCCACCTGCCGAATCCACCAATGGCCACGGGAACACGGTGTGGAACGTGCATAAGCGGCTGCAGCCATGCTGGAACGGCACACGGCGGGCGCTTAAATGTATTTTTAACTCTCCGCCCATTGGGTTCCGTTTCCTCGGGTCCTCGACTTTTGGGATCTATTGGCTGTGGTCGCAGGGGATTTGCTATCATTAGATTTCCGAAAATAACCCAGTTTGGGGGAGATGAAGGGGGCCGCGTTGGTCTGCCTCCGTCACCGGGCTTACCCCTCCTTTGAACCCTGACCATCAACACACAGGGTTATATGTCCTGTGTTGCCTGTCTCCTCAGGCCGTGATCTGTTTGTTCTTTTCACAACTGTCAGTGTGGCCTGGACTTGAAAGTGGTCCAACGTTACCACACTCAGCTTTCTTCATTACCATCTTACTCTTTTTTTGTCACCATGGTTGGCGTGCGTCTACCTCGCCCAGCGGGCGTCTATGTGCCAGCCCGAAGTCTCAGTCCTGATATGATCTCGTCCCCTCTTTCGCCCAGTTTCAATTTCGACTCGGAGACCCTGACCCCCTCCATCATTCCGGCTCTCGAGTACATCTCCGCCAAGCTAGAACAGAAAATGATGCACGTTACGCTCTTGGTGGGCCGGGGCAAGCCCTACCCGACCGGCGAGCCCTCCGACCTCATCATCATCCCCATCACCCCGCTCGATGAGATGACCTGGCCGATTGTTTACCGAATGGTGGCCAAAGCAGCCATCAAGTTCTCCCTGGGTCAAAGCTGGATTGATGCGCTGAATCGGAGTCTGTACGAGAGCGCCGCCAATGACTACCTGAAGCAGCAATCCATCATGCAGAACGAGGTGATCTTCAGCCGCGAGGGCCTGACGCTACTCAACGTCGACCGGATCTACACCTTCAAGCGCCGCCTGTGCATCCTCTCCAACCGAGGCGTGGCCCCCGAAGAATCATACATCACCTCCTGCACGCAGCTCTTGCATCGCACCATCCAAGATTTCCACGGTCGCCCGTTCAGCAAGGCCTTCTTCCACCGCGTTTACGAGCAGCTGAATGTGTCGGACGAGCTCCTCACCCACGTGGCCAATGCCTACAAGAAGCAATACAACGACGACGGCATCATCTTGCCCCCGCAGCCCAAGGCCGAGTCCCCGCGGAAGGTCGAGCAGCTTCGCAAGGGCGAGCAGCCGCGCAAGTCGCCGCGCTCGACCCGTGCCATCCGTCGCCAGGGTCCTCCGCCCACCCGATATGTGATCCCCACCAAGCGCGGGCCCAAGACACCTTTGTCTGCGTCGGATGTCACACCTATCACTCAAAACGAGTGGAACATGGTCATCGGTCCGGACTTCCCTCACCACACTAAGGCGACTGTCACTAAATGGACGCCTTCTCCCACGGTTATGGCTGCAGCGTGATGGATTATGACTGTCCAAGACTAAACATCATGTCTTTTCATCTTCAACAGAGTAGAAGTTGAAGTGCACAATCAGAAGCAGAACTGAGCTGCTACACTCAAGCAATACTCCCACCCGGATCAAGGTGAGAATCCTCTAGACGGTGTCTTGAAGACTTTTTATACTAACCATCTCCCGGCAGGATTGGCAGTTGAAACACTCCACTCTTCCCACGGTCGCATCCAACCAACGAGACCATTGATGCCTTGGTTTGGTGGAGCTACCCGAGTAGGTCGGCAAACGGACCAACAGGCCATAGCTTTGTGGGGTAACTTCCCGCCGGAATCGCAAGGCCAGCATCCCGACTCCGAAATGGTCGGGTCGATGAGTCGGGTCGATGAAGCAGGGGTGAGAAGATTCTCCGACTTGGGAGACCCAATAGGTATGGTGGCATAGTGTTGCTTGGAGTCAAGAATGAATGACTCCAGCCTTAGTCCATGCCAAGAACTGTCTGTACATTAGAAGCTTGGCGGGGAAGATATCGGCGTCCTCCGGCATGGCAATTGCCATGAAGGCTCCTAGCCACGTTGATTCGATGTATTATATTCTAGAATGAATAATAGCTTAGCAGAAACTAAGAGAGCATCAGCCAAACCTTCCCCGTTCAAAATTCGACGTCCAAAACAATAATATCGGCCAAGCAAAACCCATCCCGGCCAACAGCGGGCACCTCCGAAACATTCCGCTCCGACATTGCGGAGAAAATAATCCCAAGCTCCACTGCACAGAACTTCCATCAGCTATCGAAATATGTACTCACTAACTAACCAGTCACCATGAGGCCGATTCCTCGCAGGTGATCCACTACGTTGTCACTGGTTGTTGGGGTTGATAATTCCCCCATCTAAAAATTCTTATCGCAGCCTTATCAAAACCAGTTTTTCTGCATGCCTTGAAGTTGCTGCCCCTCCTCTGGTACATTCAAATCCTGCCGTATATCCTCCTCCCCCGCACGTCGACCGCTGGTCACCACCAATTTCAACAGCACGCCATCCCGAATCCTTATAAACGACAACAACAACAACAACAACAACAACAACAACAACAACAACAATCAAGCTTCCAATAGCTGACCTCCCTGTGGCTGCTCCCTCCAATCATGCGGGACTCCTCCCCGGACCCCGTGGACAACTCTACGGGCAATGACAACCACACGCCCGGGCGCAGCAAATGGACTGCCAAGGCCCTCGTCCGGCAGGCCGAGAAATCCCACCGTCGACTGCCAGGCATCCGCAAGATCCCCCTGCCAGCGATCGGGATTATCCTGTTTATTGCTTTCCTGAATGTGGTTGTGTGGATTGCCGCGGCGATTGTGCTGGTACGTGCCCCCACTTATCTATGTCTAGGTTGTTGATACGAGAACTAATGAACGCGACAGCGATACCATCCGTAAGCCCTACCTACACCTCAGTAGTAGCAAAGAGCAAAAGATACTGACCGCGGACTCGGGGCGTAGATCCCTCGTCTCCAACGCCGTGCTTTCCTACACCCTCGGCCTGAGACATGCCTTCGATGCGGACCATATCTCGGTACGCTCCCCTCCCTCTCTTCTTCATATAAAATATAACTAACCGTAAGAAAGGCCATCGACCTGATGACCCGGCGCTTACTCGCGACCGGCCAGAAACCCGTCACCGTGGGGACGTTCTTCTCGCTGGGTCATTCCACGTACTTTGCCTGTCCCCATCCTTTTTTGATCATGAGACTGACCTCCGCAGAATCGTAATCATAACCTCCATAGTCGTAGCCGCCACCGCGGCAGCGATCTCCTCGCGCTTCGACAGCTTCAGCACCATCGGCGGCATAATCGGCACATCTGTCAGCGCCGCCTTCCTGATTTTACTAGGCCTCATGAACGCCTACATTCTGTACAAGCTGTACCGGCAGATGCAAAAGGTGCTGAATCTGCCGGAAGACCGGGCGGACGAGATCTGGAAGATCGAGGGGGGCGGGATGTTGTTCAATGTGCTGAAGCGGATGTTCAAGTTGATTGATCGGTACTCCTCTCCAACCACCATTCTCATTCTGCAGATCAAACATACTGATGCTGATGATGCAGTCCATGGAAAATGTACCCCCTGGGTATCCTATTCGGATTGGGATTCGACACCTCCTCCGAGATTGCCCTGCTAGGGATTTCGTCCGTCGAGGCGGCGAAGGGGACGAACTTCTGGGTGATTCTGATCTTTCCGGCGCTTTTTACTGGTACCTTCCATCTAATCACCCTCCCCCCTCATAGACATGGTAAAGCTAATGCAAAGAAAAGCGGGAATGTGCCTCCTCGACACGACGGACGGCGCGCTGATGCTCTCGCTGTACGTGCAGCCGTCGGCCAACTTCCTGCCGCCGAAGAGCGATGCCGCTTCGGATGCGCCTCTCATTTCTGGGCCGGAGGAGCAGCAGGATCACGCAGAGCAGCAGCAGAAGAACCACCGCGACCCCGTCGCGTTCCTGTACTACTCGATCGTGCTGACCTGCCTCACGGTGATCGTGGCCATCGTCATCGGCGTCATCCAGGTTCTGACCCTTGTGCTGAACGTGGCGAATCCCACGGGCAAGTTCTGGGACGGCGTGCAGGTGGCGGGGGATTATTATGATGCTATTGGCGGGGGGATCTGTGGGTGCTTTTTGGTGATCGGGGGGTTGAGCGTTGTGGTTTATAAGCCGTGGCGGCGGTGGGTGGCTAGGCGGTCGGGGAGGGGGTTTGCGGTGGATGTTGAGGGGTCGCAGGGGGAGGGGGGGTATCGGGATGAGGTTGCGGATGGGGAGGGGGCCTTGGAGGTGGGAAGGCAGGAAGTGGGTAAGGGGGTGTCTGAGTCTGGGGTGAAGGGGGCTACGGCTTCAGTTGCGCCTGTTGGGGGGCCTTCGAGGTGATTTATTCCAACACGGTACTGGAAGTTGAAAAGAATGGGGGATCTGAGGGTTCTCCCCCATATACTTATATTATTCCTTAGCTTTGGATTGGATTTACAGGGAAGCTGAAAGAAAGGGGGGTCCGGGAGTTCTTCCCCGGGAACGCTGTGCATCCAGTCTTTATGGATGCAGATTGAAGCTGGTTATGATAGAGGAAAAGTTTTGATTGTTATGGATATATTGATATCTTTGCATTTATGGAGTTGGTATTCGAGTAGGGAGGAAAGGTCATATACTGTTTCTGGAGAATTTCACTGAATCCTGGGGAGCTGAAGAGAAGGGGGGTCTGGGGGTTCTCCCCCAGATAGTCACATTATAGGATATATATCGGGCTTACTGGGAAGCTGAAAAGAAAGGGGGTCGGGGGGTTCTCCCCCGGAACGCTTTACGAGGAAACGTTTTGGATGTTATCAGGTATATCGACACCCTAGGCATTGGTGGATTTGCCGGTATCGGCTGTCGGCCTGTCAGGTGAAATGCCGGGTCCACTTACGCATCAGATGATGCCTGAGGCATGTTGTATGACTGACGTCAGTCATCACAGCTGAAGCACCAGTACTCAAACTATTCCAATCACACTCTCTATGAAGATGCAGTAACGCAGTATATTCTCACTATTCCTTAAATACGTTTCTTATGTACATTCTATCTATACCCGACATGTGGGATATACTCGGAGCCATATAACTATATAACTACACTATTTAAGAGCATGACATAACCACCGCTGTACATATCAAGCATGTCCGAGACAGACTCTCCCTCAGGGAACGACGACCCAGATCCATCTACGCCTGACTTCTCGGCCTGTCCACCAATTTACGTGCTCCAGACGCACCTCACCATCGAGTCCCTCCACGACATCGAAGAGGAACTTGTCCGCCGCAACGCACGGCTGACCTACGACATCGACGAGGCCGCTCTCATCCTCGGCAAGCTCAGCCAGCCCAAGCGCGCAGCACTGGAACTGCGCACGCTGGGCGTGTGGACTGAGCCAGCCCAGAAGTCCGAAGAGCCTCCGCCGGCCAAACGCCGCCGAGGCAATGCCTATGCATCCGCCCCGGGGGAAGCCGAGGCCATCGACCTCAGCACGGAGACAGAGGACGAGGAAGACGGGATGAGCAGCCATGCTACCTCCAAGCATCTCCACGTACCTGCCAAACCAACCCCAGACACACCGACCCTGACAGTTGTCAAGCTGGACTGGCTCCACGCCTGCCTGCGCACAAACACCATCCTCCCAACCGAGGAGTACACAGTCTATCACGCGCGACGCATCGAGCGTCCAGCCCAACCCAGCCCATCCCCAAAGAAGCAAACGCAAACATCAATCCTCGCCCGTGCCAAAGCAGACGCCTCAATGCAACCCCTAGCATTCCAACGAACCCGCGCCTACCAACCCCGCCACCACCAGCAACAGCATCAGCATCACCCCCGAACCCAGCCCCCAGCCAACTCCCACCCCCCCAAACTGCACCGGACCACCACCTCCGAAGCCGAAGACCTAGGCAATCTCCCACCACCCCCATCCTGGATGACCGCGCCCGACAACACCTACGCCTGCCTCCGCTCCACACCGCTCCACCCACCCAACGAAGCCTTCATCAACGAACTCCTCACCATCCGCCACATCCGCGAACTCACCCTGGACGAAATCGGCGTCCGCGCCTACAGCACCGCCATCGCCAGCATCGCCGCATACCCTTACCCGCTCCGCCGACCAGCAGAAGTAGCAGCACTACCCGGGTGCGACGCCAAGATCGCGAATCTGTTCTACGAGTTCCAGCAGCTGAGCCCTAGCTCCAACTCAAGCGGGGAGAGTACACCGCGTCCCCCGGATCCATCTCAAGCCAATCTCGGGCAAGACACCCCGGGTGCACCGCCACCCCAAGGAGGGAGACTCAGCGCAACGCACCCCCTAACGCACGACCCCACCCTCGCCACCCTACACACCTTCTACAACATCTGGGGCGTGGGGGCCAAAACCGCGCGGGACTTCTACTTCCAGCGGGGGTGGCGGTCTCTGGATGATATCATCGAGTACGGGTGGGACAGCCTGACGCGCGTGCAGCAGATCGGGGTGAAATTCTACGATGAATTCCAGGAGGGGATTCCGCGGGAGGAGGTAGAGGGCATTGCGGGGGTGGTGAGGCGGCATGCTAACTCCGTTATTGATTCCCGGCGGCAACAACAGCAACGCGACCACCCCCACCCTACCGCTCCCGCTCAACACTATGATAACAAGGAGGATGAAGATGAAGGGGTAGAGTGCATAATCACGGGCTCGCACCGCCGCGGCAAGCCGTTCTCCGGGGACGTCGACCTGATCCTCACGCACCGCGACGAAGCCCTCACCAAGAACCTGATCGGGGATGTGCTGCGCAGTCTGGAGGGGGAGGGGTGGATCACGCATACGCTAGCCCTGCACCAGGGGCATTCTGCGCGCGAGCAGGCGACGATCCCCTACCGTGCGGATAATGTGGTTAGTCGGAAGATGTTTGATAGTCTTGATAAGGGGCTGGTTGTTTGGCAGTTGCCTCTGGGGTATTCTTATAAGGGCAAGGGGGATGCAAATCCCGCTGAGGGGGGAGGTGGGCGACCGCACCGCCGCGTGGACATCATCATCTCGCCGTGGCGGACGGTGGGGTGTGCGGTGCTGGGGTGGTCGGGGGACAAGACGTTCGAGCGGGACTTGCGGCGGTTTGTGAAGAAGGAGCGCGGGTGGAAATTTGATTCGAGTGGGGTGCGCGAGCGGGCAGGCGGGGGGTTGGTGGTGGATTTGGAGGGTGGAGGGGAGACGTGGGAGGAGAGGGAACGGTTGGTCATGGAGGGGTTGGGTATTGGGTTTCGGCCTGCTGGGGAGAGGTGTACTCGGTGATTTTCTTATCACTTCGTGATTTTGTATATTGGGGAGTTTAAGCGAAGAGGAGTCTTGGTCTTGAGTTTACTGAGAAGTTGAAGAGAAGGGGGGTCTGGGGGTTCTCCCCCAGAATACTTATATACTAGGAATTAAGGTTGAGATTGCTGGGAAACTGAAAGAAAGGGGGGTCTGGGGGTTCTCCCCCAGCCACTTTTATAGTTGGTTTGGGGTTGAGGTTACTGGGAGGCTAACAGGAAAGGGGAGGGGAAGGGGAGGGTCAAACCATACCATATTTCACATTGTCTCATAGAGCCGTCTCCGAGTAAATACACGCAACAAAACACAAACACAGCCACATCAGGCTTCATCGTCACCCCCACCCCCAAAATGAGACAAAAGTTAGACATACAAAGAAGGAAAATCAAAAGGCCACAAAAGCAAAACAGACAATCGTTACACTAGAGCTCGCGAGCTGGTCATTTCTCCATAGCGTCCTCTTCCTCTCGTGGTATCGTAAGCATTTACAACTCTCATCTGGCCGCCCTCGTCCGCCTGGCTGAACGCGTACCCGCGCTGCTTGCGCATGCGCTGCACCTGCCGCACCTTGCGGATCGCCTTCTGGAACTGCTCCATCCGCGGCCGGTAGTCCTGCACGTTGTACTTCTGGATCTCCTGCACGTGGTGGTAGTGCTGCGGGAAGTACATGCGCTTGGCGTACTTCCACGCGTAGTCGCGGAGCAGGCAGATGCAGGGCAGTATCACCACCAGCAGGTAGAAGGTGGGCGACTTGAACACCACCGGGATCGTGCCGTAGTACTCGGTCGAGAAGCCGATCGCCGGGGCCGCGTAGCCGTAGGCCGGCAGGAAGATCAGCCAGATGATCATCGAGCCGGGGATCGCGATGAAGGTGTATTTGGTCCAGATGTTCGTGATCAAGGCCGCCTTGCCCAGCACCGTCGCCAGCGCAGCCGTGTACAAGGCCTCGGCCCAGACCCAGTGGCCCGCGGTTTTGCCGTCGGCCTGGGCACCGTCCCAGATGAAGAAGAGCTGTCCGACGATGTACAAGAGCAACGAGTGGTAGAACCCATTGGCGATCCAGGACCAGAAGCTGTGTCGGCGGAAGAACAGACTCTTCTGACCCATCTGGTACAGCTGCGGATACCGATCCAGCAATCGCGCAGAGATGAACTGATCACAAATGCCCATGGCGAAAGGGGGAAGCACGGTGAAGAAGACGTTGTAGTACGACAGTGTCCACGACTCGTAGATAACCTCGCCAGAGAAAGCGTTTTGGAATGAATACTATGCATGGTCAGTAAAGGCCGAGAAAGCGGCAAAAAAGACGTACCCAGAACTGCGTCATACAGAGAGCGATATTCTTATAGAACGAGTACAAGATCACTCGACTGATACGGTGGTAATTCCAGGCCCCGTGGACCAGAAGGAGCTTGCGCAGATAACGGAACTGAGCGATCGACACGTCCGCAGACCGTGCAGCCTGCAAACCCTCAACACCGCTGATACCCACACCGACATGGGCGGCCTGGATCATAGACACGTCGTTGGCGCCGTCGCCGATCGCCAGAAGCAAGGACTTGAGGTGTCGTTTGACCAGCTTGACCACAAGGGCCTTTTGCAGGGGAGACACACGACTTCTTGAATTAGTACAACCCCAAAAGAAAGGAGAGAAAAAGCGATAACAGGCAACCTACCAGCAAACAACCGCCTTGCATAACACCGCCAAGTCCAAAAACAACTTCTCCATGTCCTTCTCGAGAGCGAAGGTCAACGACCGGCCATCGATAATCAATGCCATCGCTTCAGTCTCGCCCGAAGTACCCTGGCTCTGAACAGCTTGAAGCTTTCTCATCAAATTATCCTTGGTAGCCTGGGCGCTTTCCTCGTTGACAATGAGCAGAGTCATATCCTCCGAAATCAGCTTACACGACATTCCAATGTTGATGGCCGTTTCCTGTCTGTCGCCGGTCAAAACCCAGATCTTGATGCCTGCCGTCTGGAGGGTGTGGATAGTATCCGGGACTCCATCCTGCAAGCGATCCTCAATGGCCGTGGCTCCGAGAAGGTAAAAGTCCTTCTCAATCAGTTCGGCTGCCTTGTCCAATTCATCTGCGCGGTTTCCGCTGACCGTAGTTGCGGCCTTGTCATAGATCTGGTACCACTGCTGGAACTCCGCTTCGGGAACCTCGCGCATCGCCAAACAAAGCGTACGTAGACCCTCCGATGCATATTCCTCCAGGTGTTGCAGCGTCGCCTCAACGGTCGGGTTATCAGGGTGCAGCCGCTCGAGAATAACAGTATCCGCACCCTTGGTATAGATACGGACCTTGCCGTCTGGGCAGCGGAAGATAGTAGACATACGCTTTCTTGTAGAATTGAATTCGCAGACGGCCAGCAACTCATACTCGTAGTCCTGACCCTCCACCGTGAAGATCACGGATCTGGGCTTGCGGTTAGAAAATCGATAGCCCAGCATCGCAGCACCCTCGACCAGCGCACCTTCATCCGGAGACGCTGCCTGATACTTGATCTTACCCGGCTCCTTCTCAGATCTCTCCGGAATGACGGTATGGCAAGTCGCAAGCAGAGTGAGGAAGTGGTGAATCACATCTGACGAAGGGTGGGAGCGGAGATTCTCCCTGAGCTTCTTGAAGTCATGAACGCCCACTTCGACACCGTCTTCCACAGTAGCGCGGCGGTCCTCAGAGACGTCCTCTCCATATTGGACACCGGCAATAGTGCATTGCTTGAACTCCATCATGTTACACGTCAGGGTTCCCGTCTTGTCGGAGAAGATATACTCGATCTGTCCCAACTCCTCGACCAACGATGACGTCCGGCAGGTTGCAGGGGTATCAGTCTTGTCGTAGTAAATGTCGAGATCCGCGTTGATCAAGAATGCCTGCGCATACTTGATAATCTCAATTGTGACGAAGAGAGAGATCGGAACCAAGTTCGAGTACAAGACCCAGTAAGTGAAGATGTCCAGAACAAACTGCTTGACAGCATTGGTACTGCCGTAGTCGAGGTACGTGAGTTGACTGCGTTCTGTTTGCCGGATAACCAGATCACCAACGGAACTGATCACACTGAGCGCCACGAGGATACCAACCAACATGAGGATCTGGACGTTGACCATACGCTCAACAGCCGTCCTTTTAATCGGGGTCGCCGTCGCGTTTCGCATCAACTTCGTTTCGTGGCCGGTAAAAACGACAATTCCATGCACCCAGGGGGTGTTGCGCAGGGTCGCACCTCGCAGGAGCAGTTGATCCGGGGCCAGTGGCAGTTCCTTCTCACCACCTCCCGCGTGCATAGTCAATGTGGCCTCGTACGTGTAAAGACTGCTGTTTGGCTGTTCCGATCGGACGCGCCCGGTCAACCGACTGAGATCCGCGGGACTAACCAAATGCGCTGTCTCCGGAATAGCTTGCTTGATCTTGAGGTTGGTTTCGCCGTCCAGATTCGCCGTTTCGATATAGCATAGACCCTCAGGCTCCGACGACGCAAGCAAGACCATATCGGCGGGAAATGGCTGCTCAGACTCCACGCGAACAATATCACCCACAGCGACATCAATCCACTTAATCTCATGGAAGCTCGAGCCTTTCAGTACCTGTGTCTTGGAAAAGTTCAACCCTTTATCAGACAACCTCCGCTTGTAATCCTCCACAAGTTCTTTGATGGCCGACACCAACAACACAATCAACAGCGGACCGATCGTGGTATACCGATTCGTGGGAGTGACATTCGGGATCTGTTGAAGAACGGCGGTGAACAGGAAGAACAGGTTGGCGTACTTCGAGAACTGCTCGAACAGGAACTTCGGGATGAAGGTGAAAATGTTGTATTTGGCCGTCGAGACATGGTTGTCTACGAATTTGTGCACGGCGTTCGCGGGCGGATTGTTCAAAACGATCATTCGAGGTCCCAGAGTCGACGGGTCGACCTTCCTGCGACCGAACCCGAACTTGAAGTCCGATTTCTTCGACTTCTTTCGAGCCCCGGTCGCAGCCGCCTCATCCGGATCTGCACTGTCCAGCCGAGCCGCACGACCGCCCGACTCCGTCAAGGGAAGATCCATTTCCGAGTACTCGGGCCCCATGCCCAGCATGTGCTTCGCTCGGCCCATCAGGCCACCGCCCAGACCCAGGATGCTGTTCCGCTCCTTCGCCTGGCGAACCCGGCTGTCGGGCTCCGAGTGGTGTACGTCGTCATCATCCAGATCGTAGTATCCGTGCAGCGACCGGTCGTCGTCGTATTCGTCGAGTGAGTAGCGGTTGTAGTTGCTCAGGCCGGAGGTGTGGGAATAGGTGCGAGACACGTCGGCTCCGGTGTAAGGATCGGTGAGGTAGCCCCCGGTTTGCGCCGGAGGGTGCGCAGAGGAAGTCGCATGGGCGCCCGAATGCGGCGGAGCCTGTCCGCCGACGAAGCTATCGTAGGAAACGGAGGGACGGGATTGGGGTTGGTCGGAGTCATCGATGTCGTACTGTCGCAACAGGTTGTCATCATTCACAGGCGGACGTTGGCCCGTGTTGTACATGGGAGTGGACTCATCCAGCAGCAGTTCCTCGTTGTGGCCAGCGGCTGGATGAGGTCCGGGAGGCCTACCGCTGGCCATGACGCTGAAGGCGGGCAGACACCGTTACTGCGAGGTGGTGCCCCAAGAGCATTGATTGATGGGGGAGGGAAGGGGTGAAACTCGCGCGCTGGGAGTAATGGAGGAAGGCGGAAACACGTAGTATTTGGGAGGAGGTGGTCGGAATTGAGTCCGGGTGACAGTAAGCGGCGGGGAGGGAGAGAAGTAACGCAGATGGGGAGAAATTCTGACTGCCTGGCGGTTTAGCTCAGATGCCGCGCAATTAGCGTTGGATCACCGCCCGTGGCTGGGGCCGGGAGATGGGGCGGGGCTCTCCGGGTCGAGACGGTGAGTAAATTAAGTTGTTGACTGGGAGACGTGCTAATTATATGCCATGAGGGGGGAGAGGATATGGTGTTTCAGAGTAGGAAGACGATTTGGCAGAGTCAACTCATTTCCACTGCCGCGTGGTTGAAAGTGGATGATGGATTGGAGAAAGGGAGGGATGAACACCTGCTTCCGCTTTAGGTTAGCGCCGCCTGACCGATCGTCAACTGCCGTCACGACTTTCTACAATCAACAAACAACAAAATAGCAGCAACAGCTTGGAAGCAGATAGATACTAAGACGCTAACCACAATATCATTTCAAGACTCAAATATATCACCACAGCTCGACAAAAACAAACAAAGTTACAAAAACATTGTACACTAAGACCATATCCATGCAAGAATTAGAATCTGTACCAGAAATTCATCTCCAAACTGGCAACCTCGTCTCAAGCTCGCCTCTGCAAGCCCCAATCACGTAAGAAGGAGCGGCCGTAGGGTTGAAACATATGAACAACACACGCCCACTCACTATCTTCTCGCCTCACACCATTGAACTTTTGGTCCAAACTCGGGTACGTCAGGATGTCATGGACGTCCATCAATACCTGAATAAAGTATATGTGATTTATGAATTCCTGCGTAGGTTCTTCGTCTGCCGTCCTCGGGGCGTATGCGAAGGCATCTTGAAGGCGCCCATATATCGCCAAGTGCAGCTGCTCTAGGAGGTCGCCGGGGATTTTGATATGGCGCCTCCACCATTCCTTGATACGTTTTGCCAGCCTCACAAAGTCGTCGGCATCGAGAATTCGACCACGGGATTTGACCGTAACTTTTACACGGAAATGCTCTTCCGCTGTCTGTTTCAACCACAGGGCAACCTTGTCGGTGGCAATTCTTGAAGATGATCTATCTTGAAAATCCATAGTGGTTCCTGAAAAGTGTTCAAGCGCTTGAGGATCGAATCGCTCGAGAAGAGTTGGATAAGAGTGTGATAAGGGGCTAAAATGCCTGGAGATGCCAAATAGGTTGCAGGAGGGAAGTAATATGATTTTTCTGCAACTTCTCTGGCTTTCGAACCCAGGACCACGACACTATATACCCACTAGTCTAGATGGATTGACTAAAGCCACCTACGCGTTGAACGATAGAGCAGGTCATGGGCTGTTTTAGTGCATGGCGATCAAACGAGCATCAAGCTGTATCCATTCATTCCAGAAGATTCTTGTTTCTCTGTCTATCTCCTATCGTTTATGAAACTGAAGCCGAAGAGGAGGTAACGTCGTTGTAAACGTGTCCAACGCGTTGTGCTCAAAGTCCTCACCTGTCTCACCCGGCGCGAAGCTTATAGAATATTGTGAAGCCAATACGGACACCGTGATGCGGAGGCTGAGCAGAGCGAGATTCTTTCCAGGACAACTGTATGAGCCTGGTGACGCAAGTTAACGATGGAACTTACCCAATCACTTGAATTGTGAATCGACCCGACGCTGCGGAAAAGTTGCGGTAAATGACTTACCCATTGCAAATGGAATGAAAGGCGCCCCATCGGTGCCCAGCTCGCCTTTTCTTTCACCCCATCTCTCGGGAATGAAACTTTTGGCTTGTTTGTAATATCTCTCGTCTGTTTGGATCAACTGAACCGGAACAAACACGTTGACATCCCCGGGAATGTACACCTCATCGATCTGGAGGCCTTCCGCAGGGGTTACCCGGTATCCACCTGTCATCACGGCTGGCCGGAGACGGAGAGCTTCATTGATGATGTCGTCAAGAAAAGAGACTGTCTTCACCTTGTCGTATGACCAGTCCTCGACCCCACCAGGCATAGCCTCATCTAAGAGTCGCTGAAGCTTGGCAAGAACATACTGATACTTAGCTAGGTAGAAAAGCACAGTAGCTAAGGTAGTCGCTGTGGTTTCACTGCCAGCGATAATAACCACCCGAGAGTCTTCGTGCAAAGCAGCTTCTGAAGGAGAGGCTGCTGCGTCGTCGTCCACGTAGGCTTTCAGCAGCCATGAGACAATATCGTCAGGATACTTTTCAGCGTCCCAGACCTGCACACCGCATTAATGTCTCAGCCAAACGCCGAACACGAACAAAGTAATCACGCACCTTTTGCTTCCTTTCTATCTCATCACCACACCACTTGAAGAAATCTGAATAGGCTGTAGTCGCTCCTGGGACACGGCTAACGAGATTCAGAAACCAAGGAACATGGCCTAGAACTCCCAAAATGGCCATATGGTCGTGGATTCCTTTGATAGCCGGATGCTCAACACCTGTTATCAAGTTTCCAAAGTTTTTTCCAAAGCCCACATCTCCCATCACATCAAAACTGAGAAACATTGACCAGGCGGTGGCGTCAATGGGATTTCCCAGGTTGGCTGCTATATGAGCGACAAGTTGATCGGCCTTCGCCTTGATCCGTGGTTCGTACACTCCGAGTGCTAGATATGCCTGGTCAATTTCCGCCGGCATCTTCCAAGAAGTGGCTTTGAGTAGAGAGCGCACATTTGATACTGAATCCTCGATCCCATGCCTTCCGTCGTTTCCGATGATCTTCGAAATCTCGTGTGTGGTGGACGGAGCATTCTATCGGATTGGTAGAGGCCTGCGCGTAGTAGGTTGACTTGCGACACTTTGACTGAGGCCCGAAGAGGACTGGTAAAGCTGATCTCCGGACGATGCAGATCTCTCGAGGACCTATGATTGGAGCATTTTCAGTACTGGTGGTGAGCACCTGGGAGTGGCGACATGGCATACCTGTCCTAATGAAGTCACCGTACTGTTTGTGGAGTTTCTCAATTTCCACATTGTATTGCACATTCCGTCCGGCAAGATACGCATCATAGAACCGAGACACCTTAGAACCTATCGGGCCTGGAAAGTGACGAAGACGATGAAAGCACAACCGATAAACCCCAATGCTCAACACTAGTCCTGTGTTGAAAGCGCCTGCAATCCAGCATACTCGGACCAGACTCTGAGTCACTGAACAATCACTTAGCGTAAGATAGGCGGCAAACACGGCAGATACCGAAAATACGTAGAGTATCAGAAGTTCATGAAGATGATCTTCCGTGGGAAAACTGGTGCGAAAGAGAGTGAGATGGAGGACAATCGCGAGTCCCGCAGCGGAACTTGCCAGGCTGAGCAGGTCCTTCCCGATGAAGTCACTAACGCCAGCGGACCAAAGCAACGATTTCGCTACCTCCATTGTGAGTGTGAGTGTTGATTTCCTCAGCCACCCATCGGTCTGCACACAGTCATTCGAAGAAAGGGACAATCCCTCGCTGACCGGGCAGCGAACGATTATTTAACACCCATTCGAGCCGGAAACTTCTATGGCACCTTTGACGATTGCATGCTAAAGCGACGGCGTCACCATAGTCGATGACTGTGAGTTTGTTATTGGCAGCAGACAGCTGGTCAGTTTGTTAACCCTTGTCTATACCCCACCTCGGCAGAAATAAAAACACTCACCATCTCAGCCGATCGCACAACCGGGATAAGAGAGGCGCTTATGACAGAAACCAGGACCCATCGTGCACGATGGTGAAACTCCGGTCCTCGTGCGGACAATATGCAGGACAAGCCCGTCATCTCCACCTTTCATCTCTGCTACTCGTGTTCGCTTGATCGCATGGCGGCCCTTCAGTGGTGGCTGAATTCCCCGATCCACACCGCGAGACACTATAGGAGACTAGGAAGGGAGCAGCCGTCCGCTGTGGAGCTTATGCTGATGCCAGCTTTCGCGGATTGGCGGGAAGAGAGAAAGCAAAGAGTTTAGCGCACTGGATCTCATCTGCATCTAAGGCCACCTAGCGTTGGTGCTTGCAGGGATGGCTGGACTATCAACAGGATCGATGCACACAGCAGGATGGGCTGGATCAGAAGAGGGGGTGAGGAAAAGACAAGGCTGCCTCCAAGCATTTGATTATCGGCCCAATGGACTTTCGAGACTGTCCAGTATCTATTCTCTCGGCCGGCTTGACTCGCAGGTCATTTTCGACAGAGCAAAAGAGCCTGCACGAGCGAGCTCTTTGCATGGGCTTATGCGTTGGGCAAAATGGCTCTCGAGAATCTTCAGCCATTGACCTACGGGATTATCTCCGCTGCTTTCGCGATCGGAACTTGCTCCATCTTCCTGCGGCTTTACTGTCGACTGCGTCATCGGAGTTTTGGTAGGGATGATGCAGTGGCTATCATTCTCCTGGTAAGGAATAACCCTTCACCACCGACCATCCAAGTTAATCACCACACAGTTTGTCAACGGGATGCAGCAGATGATTCTGTATATCTTTCTTCATTATGGATGTGGACTGTAAGAGACGAAAGCCAGCGAACTAGTATAACAAGGCCTGACCAGGTACTGTGGTAGGCACTCGAGTCAATTATCCTCGCATCAGCGGGAACAAATAACCAAGGTACGCACCCCAGCTTACTGGCGCCTTCTCGACTAAAACATCTGCAATCCAGTGGCTGTTCGTCGAAGAAGTCTTCTACATGTTCGTGCACTGGACCATCAAACAGGCGTTCCTGCTATTCTACCTCCGACTCTCCCCGGATCGATCATTCCAGATGAAAGTCTTCGGCACAATGGCCCTCAACACACTGTTTACGATCACGAACTGGTTACTCGCCTTCCTACAATGCAGACCCCTCGATGCCATATTCCACCCCGCAGAATATCCCAACGCGCAATGTCTGAGCACATACGTGGTCATGATGGTACCAACAGGACTGGTAGGGATTGGCGATAGTTCTTGAGGGGATACAGATACACTAACATGTCTTCAAACCATGGGAAGAACATCATCACGGATATCATCATCCTCACCCTACCGATCCCGACCGTGATGCGATTACAGATGAGTAACCAACGCAAGGTCGCCGTGCTCGGGGTTATGTGTTTCGGCGCCTTGTCCGTAGTGACGGCGTTATGCCGCTTCGACGTGCAGAGACAACTCATCGCCGACTCCGACACGGCGTACGTGCTCGGCCGAATGATCATCGTAGCGGCAATTGAGATCGAGATTGCCGTCGTGGCAGTCAATCTTCCCGCGTTGAAGACCCTCTTCACTAAGCTCGTGGGCAGCTCAAGCGACGACTCAACCAATGGCGCCCACCGACTTTCCGATTACATCAAGCAGGGCTCGAACGCAGCAGGCCCCAAGAAAGCCGAATCGCGCCTTTCACGCGCTAGCCTCCAGATCCACGAGCTACTAGGTGGCAACTTGACAGGTTCAGAAGAAGAGCTCCTGAGACAGACTGGTGGGAAGGCGAACATCACAGTCACGACGAATGTGGACGTCGCGTCCGAGCGAGCGAACAGTGAGTATCTGGCAGACATCGGCTTTCCTCCCATTGTGAGCCAGCATCCGAAAAATCATGTTGAGACATCATGAACAGAATTTGACCTTCTCTGTTGAGCAAATTAAGACAGATCATTAATTGTTGAACTAAAGCGTGGCTTGCCGGCTGTCAGATCGTAGTCTACCAAAAAAGCGAGTTCTCAAATCTGCTTGGTCGGTGGGCTGCGGCAAATGTCCGAGAGATTGCTTGGTGGCGGGCCTGGCCTGAGGATAAGCGGCTTGGGCGGAGAATATCACCACCCGATTCACTATAGCTCCGTAGGCTAAAATATCCACCATCTGGTCGAAAATGGGTTCTTCATTTCTCGATAGGACGCTAAGAACACACGAACAGTTAGTGACTGACTTTTGATCTAGCCACAGGCCAGCAATTACAAATGGGTAATGCTAGAAAGATGGCTCGAGGGTTTGCCATCGCCAAGTTGAGTTGCATCCAGCCTGGTGTGGCTGCTACTTAGCTGCAAATATATTTTGGTGATCAATCACCACAAACACGTCAAGCCATAGCGTAGCTTCTCCAGATTTACAAAAGCACACCATCATCCAAATCAAATCTGATTGCCCGTCTTTTGAAACCATTAGACTCCTGGTAATATGCATGACATCTCTAGTAAAACCCCGCCAAAGCCACCCCGCCCTGAAGGTAAATCACCGATCATTCTCCGCTCGCGACTCTTCGGCCCTGCCCGTCTTCGCGCGCTTAGCCAGATCCGCCTGCAGCGCCTTATCGATGACGGCATTGATCTCCTTGACCTTATCCAGGGCGACGGAGGTCTTGTTGACGAAGACCATGGCGTCGACCGGCGAGCCGGAGAACTTGGACATGAAGCAGACGTCGCCGGCGTTGTTGAGGCCGAAAACGACGTCGGCCTCGGCGGCCTGCTCCTCGCGCCGGGTGGCGTCGAGGATCACGCGCTTGCCCTCGTCGAAGGAGTGGAAGGTCACGGCGAGCGGCTTGTGCGTGATGTTCAGCGCGACGGGCACCCGCTCGTCCACCCCGTAGACGATCACCTGGCCGTCCTTGACCACGGCGTCCGGGCGCCGAAAGTGCTGCAGCCCCGCCATGATGCCCGCGCACGCCGCGTCGATCAGGTTGCCGTCGTAGTCGGTGATGTGCACGTCCGCCCGGATGCTCCAGCAGCTCACCCCCTTGACGATGCACAGCGATTCCGTGTCCAGCGCGTTGGAGTGGCGGATCACCCGGTCTAGGACGTTGGTCACGTACGTTTCGAGGTCGCCTTGTCTGTTTTCCCCCGGTGATTGATTAGAAGCTGTCCTTTTTTTCCGCGGCATATTTCTGGGGAAGGAGGGTAAGGGGGTCAGTCCTACCGTCCATTATCCCAGGCGGGCGACCCCATCGCCGTAAGCTCCATTGCGATCGTGAAAAGCCCATCGAACGGCCGGTCGTCGTGCGGTTTCGTCACTTCGGCTGAGATGCGTGTCACTAGACTAACACACGCAAGCACAAGAACGGTTAGCTTCGCGCTGTGGTTTTGTAACCACCAAGAGAAGATGCTTACCTCGTCCGACCAAGCTGCACCTTCACATGCCCATACTCCTCCCCGAAGGTCACCTTCAACGGACGCAACTCATCCGCGGCGCGACCGTCCAGGCGTACATCCTCGCGCAGCGCATTGAGGATGAAGTCGCGCTCCGCGATTGAGAGCGGTGCTTCTTTATTCATAATTTGTGAATTTCGAAGGAGGAAAAGAGAGGAGAAAAGGCGGAGGGAGGGAGGGAGGGAGGAGGGGCGGCGGACTTGGCCGCCAGCGGCCCCGGGGAAGACTTTCGTTTTCTCTCTCTAAATTTCAGGCCGCGGGCGGGCGCCGGGCGGTCATCGTCATTGTAGCGTCTGGGCAGGTGGGCTTTAGTCCAATGGGAGAGGTGGAAGGCTGGGCGGTGAGAATTGTGCGTCTCAGGCTGGCTGGCTTACCGCTCTGGTTCAGGGTAGTCGCCGCGGGCGGAGGTTATTATCAGAGCCATCAACTCTTCTTCTTCGCGGACAACAATTCTCACGACCTTGGATTTACGCACAACCACAATATGACTACAGGTGAGAAGACTGTGGCTATGCTTGGGAAGGGTGTCATGCTGACTTTTTGAACAGCACACAGACCTACGTTTGACCCCGTACGTAAACCCGCTTTCCAGCCCCGATTTGGAGAAGCGCAAGAACTCATTCGACCCTAGGCACAAGGCAAAGAGGCCCTCCGTGGTCCGGCCTACCACCAGCGATTGCTTCCTGCACACAAGCTTCTGAAGACACGGTAGGATGGCGAGATAGTCTGTATGTTTGGAAGAAAGGCACTGACGCTAGCCAGTCAACTCGGCCAAGGCACCGAAGCCGAAGCCACCCAGCGCGACCTCCGCGCCGAACTCCTCCAGGCTGAGGCCGCCCATTACGCCAAGAAGAACGGAACCCCCCTTGATGAGCCCACGGTCGAGAGCGTGACGCCCAAGCGTCAGTTGGAGGGTGGTTCGCCGGGTGGAGATGCAGACACAGGAGAGCAGGAAGAAGATATGGAAGCGAAACGGCGAAGGATATTAGAGGAAACGAGAGACATCGACGCAGACTCGGATGGGTCGGAAGAGGATAGTAGCGATGAAGATAGGTGAGGCGCTTTGCCAATTGAGCAAGAAATAAAGGCAGGACTGACTGGTTTAGTGATGACGAGGAGGATGAGGCTGCCGAGCTCATGCGCGAATTGGAGAAGATCAAGAAAGAGAGGCTGGAGCAGAAGGAAAAAGAGGTGGGTTTCTTCCGGTCTGGGTCTAAGGCTAAAAGCTGATGATGATAGGAACGCGAGCGTGCGGCTGAAGAGGAAGAGAAACGAGAGTACGACATTGCGCGCGGAAATCCCCTGCTCAACCCTCAGGACTTCAGTCTCAAGCGACGATGGGACGACGACGTGGTCTTCAAAAACCAGGCGCGCGGCACGGAGGATAAACGGGGCAAGGAGTTTGTCAATGTAAGTTTGCTGGCTATATCTTGGGGATGGTATTGACATGATATAGGACCTGTTGCGATCGGATTTCCACAAGCGGTTCATGGTAAGTCGGCCTGGTTTCCGGATCCTTTTTCATGCGAACGCTAATGGACGCAGGGCAAATACGTTCGGTGAACACCACACTACACTTGCTGAGATTGAACTTCGCTCCTCAATCGTGCTACATTACAATCTACCCACAACTGTAGGGGTGTTGCAACACTCAGGACGGGCTAAGCACCTACGGAAGTTCCGCAAGCTGAAGGGGCGATGGAACCCCGGTTTTTTACCTCGTCAATTGGACACTCGGGAGATCCTATGCGCTGGAGATGCACCACCTAGATAGCGATAAAGTATAGTCATAATACCCAAACCACTCCAACCAGACACGCTCGTCGATTAGCTTCGTTATCGTAATCCACAGCCGGCAGTATCCGACCGCCCAAATCCCCGCCCCGAACAATCGCAATCACAAGCACAACCCACCCACTCCCGACATCTGCATAACCTGATACGATCACTCAATCGCCTCAATCCCCCTCAATCTCCCAAAATGGAGTCCCAACCCTCCTCCAAAACCCTGCACAGTCAGTACGCCATACGTCATCTACCAAACTAGCCACTAACTCACCCAAAAATCAGACCGCATCAACACGAACATCTCCCAACTCCTCCAACGCTTCGAGAACATCATGGCCACAGCCACGGTACGCGACGCCCACTGCCAACCACCCCTACCCCTCAAAACCCGATTTTAATCTAGGCTGCAGACAGAAAGCACAAGCCACACCTCCACAGCCGTCGAAACCTACCAACTCGACGTCGAATCCACCGCCCTGGTTCGTTGACCCTGACTCCCTCACGATAGACTCGACCCCGCTGATCTTGTTATGCTATGGGAGCAGGTCCGCGCAGCAGAAGATATCCTGGCGCTGACGCGGGTGATGAAGGAGACGTGGCTGTTCGGGAAGCTGGATACGTTGGGGGAGGATGAGGCGGAGGTGAAGCGGCGGGAGGAGCTGGAGCGGGATGCGGGGGCGATTCAGCGGGCGATTGAGGAGGGGGGGCTTTTGAAGGCTGCTAAATAGGCTTCACTGGGGGTGGAGTATGGTATGGTCTGGTGCATTGGGAGTTTGGGTTTCGGGGTGGGATATTTGGCGTTATTGCCTGGGATATTGCGAATCTGTTTATTCGAACCTTACGGGAATAGTACTGTACTATGCAGTTTCACATGATCATTTGTGGTGTCTATGATTGCCGACAGTCTACAATGCATATATCGGTCAAGCAGGCAGTGCGCTGGCATGAATCAAACAGATTTCTAAAATAGAAGCCAAACCACTCTACTAACCAAGCTGCAGTGCGGCAAAGCTAAGCTACGCTACGCTAATCTTATCGATAACCACCACCTCCGCCCCGACCAACCCGACCCAACCTCCGTACACCAAATTTCCCTCCTCCACACCCGATCCATCCGTACCCCTCCACTCAACCACTACCGAAACAACCAGCCCAAGATGCCACCAAAACCACCCCCCCTAACCCTCATAGTCGCCACCACCCCAATTCCCTCCACCCCCACCACAACAACAGGCCAACATGCCCCCCTCCGCCTCGGCATCGGCCTAAACGGCACCCTCCCCTGGCCGCGCATCAAAACCGACATGTCCTTCTTCGCCCGCATCACCTCGCGCCCGCCCACACACCCTCCTGCCGGCAGCAACCTGACGAACGCAATCCTCATGGGCCGCAAAACCTACGACTCGATCCCGGCCTCGCTCCGTCCGCTCGGCAAACGCATCAACGCCGTGGTCACGCGGTCCGTCGAGGAGGTCGCGCGACGCGTGCAGCACGACCTCGACGGGAAACGGGGGAAGGAGGCGGAGAAAATGCGCGCGGCTGAGCAGGGCCAGGGTCTAGGGGAAGGGGAAAGGGGGGCAGCACAAGGGCCGCAGACCGACGCGATCGTGTGCGCGGGGTTGGAGGAGGCTGTCACAGAACTCGAGGCGAGGTACGGCGCGGAGGGGAAACTGGGGCAGGTGTTTGTGATTGGCGGGGCGGAGATCTATGGTGCGGCGTTGCGGGTGAAAACGCGCGGGGTGCGGATTGTGATGACGTTTGTGGAGAAGCTGGCGTTCCAGGAGGATCGCGGGCGGGTGTTTGAGTGTGATACCTTTTTCCCGGTGGATGAGGAGTTACTCCAGGAGAGGTGGTGGAGGAGGGTGAGTGCAAGGGAGGTGTCGGACTGGGTGGGGGAGACGGTGACGGATGAGTGGATTGTGGAGGGGGAGGTTAGAGTGAGGATGGTGGGGTATGAGCGGGTGGATTGATCGGGTTCTATTCTACGGGATGGAAGTGACAATGTACAGTCTGTATGCAAGGTATGTACCGCGCCATTCGGGTGGCCCCAAGCTCTAAATACAGGATCATATGCAACCGAAACAAACGCTGAACCAACTCCGAGCTAATTTACAGCAACAAATCTAGATAACCGCGGCAAAAAGCAATTCATAACACGTACCCACCGAAAAGCAAACTACTCGTTCTGCTTCATATACTTCACAAATGCTTTCTTATGTACTAGACCGGCATAGTGTCCATCGTGGAGGACACACAGATACCGCAGGCCCAGCTTCGCAAAGCACTGATACACAAGATCAATTGGGGAATGGATGTCCAAGGCCATCGGGGACTAAAAGGATTAGCTTCGTGTCATGCAGTGAGATCACCTGACTTACAAAATCAATGTATTGAGTAAAGTCCACCCAGTCGGTGTTTTCCAGATCCTCACTGTCGGAGATAGTCGAGGACACATCCATCGTCATCAGACACAGGGTGTTCTCCTCATCCTCAAGATTGTCAAGAGCATATTCGAGGTCAGGCGCAGGGATCAACCCAGTCAGAATATTGTGACGCAGAATCGGCAAGCCACTGTCGAGCTCACCGGCCATGAGCAAGTTCTGAAGTTTCGACCGCAGCTCCGTCGCAGGCACAAAGGAGGACTCCGAAATGTCGATAATCCGGCTGGCCCGCAGGGGTCGAACGAGATCGCCAAGTTGTCCATCTGACAAGGGCTGGAGTTTATTGTCGAGGAACGGATACGCGTTCATGTCCGTCAGGAGGTCCTGCGTACGTTAGTACAATGACTATGATTGCAGGCTTCGAGATGCTCACGTAGATACTGCGGGGTTCGATTGCATCTGCTGTCCACTTGGCACAGAGAACTGCCAGTGAAAATGGGAGCACGTGATCCAAACTACCGGTCAGTTCGAACAATATGACGGCAAGTGTCACTGAAAGGCGTGTGACACCACACATGGTAGCACCCGCCGCAACCATGGCATAAACCCCCGGTGTCACGCAGGACTCCATGCCAGCGACGGCCGGGCAAGAAGACCCGAAGAGGAACGAGGTTGGATACTTGAGCACCAAGTATTGTGCCACATGGCCAACGATGCGGCCCATAAGACCACCGACGACCATGGATGGAACGTAAATTCCCGCAGGCACTTTGATGCCAAATGTGACAATGGTGAGCAGACTCTTGATGACGAGAGCGACCAGCAGGTAGCGAATAATATCGCCAATGCGGTCTTCGCTGGGACACAGCCCCGTGGGTGATGACGACACATGCTCACAGGGACTGGCCAACTCAAACATCAACTCGGAAACAGGTAACTTGGTGTACCGGTTCCAGAACCCGACGAGTCCAGTCACCAAAGCTACGAGAACAACCTCAAGCATGGGATAGCGCTTGATGATCGGAATGCGTCGGAAAGACCGCGCCCAGACGCTCGAGGCTTTGATGAACAGAGCCCCGGCTGCTCCTCCAAGGACACCCAAGAGGATAAAGATAACCATTTCGAACATCTCCCAATCGCCGAGATAGCGAACCTGAAACAAGACGATCTTGCCAGTACCGTAGGGGTTGAAAAATTTGAGAGACAGGGCTGCTGCAATGCAGCAGAAGAACGTCCTAAAGAGTGTCTTTGGAGGGAAATAATAGCTGACTTCCTCGAGGCTGAAGAGCACACCACCGATAGGCGCCCCGAAAGCTACCGCAACACCGCTGGCAGCGCTTGCACTCAGCACCTCACGCCTCTTGCCGTCGTTCAAGTTGTATTTCGCGAACAAGCGACAGCAAATGTTCCCTACGCAGGTCGCGATGTGTACATATGGACCCTCCTTACCCAAGCTCAGTCCTGACGCCACACTAAAGACCAGAGCGACAGTCTTGACGACGAGAGTCTTGAAGCCTAGATACCCGTGCAAGACAAAACCGCTGTTGATGACCTTGACCTCAGCTACTCCACTCCCTGCCGCCGAGTAGTATGTCATAGCAGGGCGAGTAGGAATCACGGCACCCGGTGCCTGTAGCCCACTTGGCGAGTCATGCGAGCTGAAGTTCCCGGTCTTTCCTTTGGTACCGCGGGAGGACGCAGCCCCAAGGTTTTCGTCCAGAGTCGTCAACGAGATGGATGATGGCACCACCGTCTTTGTGAGTAAGGTGAGCGCACAAGAGATCATGGAGAGTAAGATCACCCAGAAAATGAACATGCCGTAATCGACCCACTGATTTTCGCTACCCGATGGGCTCAAAATGTTTGACCAAGATCTCCACGCAGGGCATTCTTGCCCTCCCGTGCAGCAGCTTTGGCGGCTATGGAACCAGTGTGTGGTGCAGAAACCCTCCTTCACATCGAAAACAAATTTCTCCGTCACGTCGACGAAAAAGGCAATAGCCGCGGTTATGCAGCCGATCAACGCTACCAGCACCCACCCCTGACTGCCATCGAACCATGCCAATAGGCGACCCCGGATGTCTTTCCGCCTCCGTAATTCTCGTAAGCGAGCGCCGTCCGCGATGCTATCATGGACCCAATCAGTCGAAGTGAATTGATCGTACCAGCTCCGTTCATCCAGGAACGAGGCACTCATATCGTCCTTGGCTGAGGGAGCGACACTCGCGGCGGGATCACTGTCGCGACGGCTGAAACGCATCGCTTGCGAATTAGCGCGGCTGTGATGGCGTGATCGCCGGAGGCTGCCCGCCAACAAGCTATGTCTGAAGTTTGGATCGGGGCCCGAGTTGCCAGAGATGTTGGTGTAGGATCTCGGGAAATTGCGCCGGTGTTCGTGCCCTTTGCCTAACAAGCTGGTCGTCTCTCCTACTTCCATAGGCGATTCCAGCGTTTCATAACCGGTGTGGGCTTCGGACAGGTGACTGTGACTGCGCCGAAAGGCGGACGGCGAGGGAGGAGCCGTTTGAGCGCTGGTTCTTCGGCCATCGGTTTCGATCGAGACATGCTCAATGTCTGAAGGAGCCGAGGGAAATCTTTGAGGGACTGAACGAGGCATTTTCGGCGATGCGAGGTGAAGCAAGGGCTGCTTCCGACCTACTGATGGCTGTCTGAGAGGTAAACGTTAACCCCGACTCCTGAGAACCCAAAATGCAGGGCAGGGGGCAGATGGAACGGTAGATAGGAAAAGTTCAAGGTAACAAACAATTTGCGATAACGGACATATCCATCCGCGCATCAACGCCGGGCAACTGCAGAGTGGAGACACGGACGAAAGTTCGACTGTGTTTGGATGCAAACAAGAAGAAGCGGTCGACGGCGGTGAGACACGGAGATAAGGAAGTGAGTGCAACCGAGCGGTCGATTGTTATGTCTAGCGGAGCGAGTAAAAACAGAGCGTCGGAGAGGATGAAACTATACACAAAGCAAAGATCTGATACAGATGAAAGTAAAGAAAGACTAAAATAAGAGGCTGAAAGGAAAAGGAGGGGGGAGGGGAAGGAAATGCAGGTGAATAGATAGTCTAACTGTAGGTAGTGACAGACACAGACCAGGCCGTCAAAAGAATGGAGGCGGGGAGAAGAGCGAAAGGAGAAAGCGATGGACTCGGGACCCATTGCGCTGATCGTCATCTGACTGCCTAAGCCTGTTTGGGGAGTCACAAACCCGGGACCAACAGCCCCCCAAGCAGCGGTCAGACACACACTACAAACCCACAAGGTGTTTGCCCAGTGGAGAGAGATGGTCAGTCCTTTCATAGTAGCACCACTAGGAGACTAGTGTGGGTATGTCCTTGGTGAAGGAGGGAGGGGCAAGATGTCATCGGACATCTGGAAAAGGCACGTGTCCCTCCACCCGACAGCTATGCTTGTCAGCTTGTTGGTGTAACATGCCACAGATCCTCTTGGCAGCTGTACCCCAGACACCTGTAATGCTGCATTACGTCACGTATAGTAGTTAGCTAAATAACTTCACAGAGATAGACATGTGTATATAATAAAATAAGGTTGATGTGGCCCTGTTTTGAGCTCTTGTATCATCTCAGAAACGGGTGGTGTGATCTATATACCTAGTATGGATTCCCTATTGTCCATCATTTTTTGTTGTGTTTGCTTCTTTTGTGTATATTGTAATCTAGCGCAGCATCAACGCAACACCGAAACAGACCTCCTCATAATCCTTCCACCATGCACCCAAACTTTGTATCCAGTCGATTCTCCAAAGCCCAAGGACCTAGTATACTTCTTCTCCAACCCGTCTCTGCTGTAACAGCACTACGACGATCACCCTGATCAACAAGATCACCGCCAATCATTCCTCTTGCTCCCTCATGCGCCCTGCGCAAAACCCTCACTCCCCCTCAATTATCTTCAACATCGCCACGAAGACACACAGCAACGACGCTAGCAAAGATATCTGGACAGTTCGTCCAGTCTCTTACCACGGGGCCTCGTCGCGAACACGGCAGAACTTTGATGATGAGTAGGGCACCCTGGCTGAACAAATCGAGAACGATGGGCGGACTTCAACGCCAAGGAAGAAGGACGAGATCGTGCCTGAGAAGTGATACAGTACATCAGAAAAGTACTAGAAGTATAGTGAGAGGCAAGTCAGGACCAAATGAGAGGCCAATCTGAAAATGGACAAGCTAAAGTATGAAACAGAGGCCTTGGTCCCTTTTCTAAAGGTTGAAGCTGAGATCTCCAGACCGTGATTGCCGCTACAAGGATGTCACTTTAGTGTGAGTTGGGTTAGCGCTGACGCTCATACCATCTAAGGCTACAGGGTGAGGGACGGATTGACATCTTGACTGTGCACCTCCCGATATGTACCAACTGAGATATTGCCATGAACTCATTGTTTTCAATTCCCTACCGCAGACACCGTCTCTATACGACACTGATCTGAAGCCCAGCCAGGTCACCAGCATCCCGCCACTCCTCCAAAACATCCATCCAATCGATCATTCCGGGTGGCCACCGTGCAGAAGCCGTCAACTTCATTCTTTCCTCCATCGACACGTTTTCTAGGCTTCCTTCAGTGTTCAAGTACGACGGGGGCAACCCGCCCAAGCTGCCAGGGCGGGAGCACCGGCCTGGACTCGCAGCCCCCAAGCTGTCTCTGCATTCTGAGGAACTTCGATAGTCATCTTACCGCTACCCTGCCGTTGGATACTATCGGAAATGATGAACGCTACATGCTTGGCACATGTATCGAGCATCGCTGTGTACACAGGGAAAAAGCTCGTCTGGCCAGCACCCGAGAAGAACATGCTGGGGAAGCCATTTGTGGCGACGCCGTGTAGCGTCATGGGGCTCTGCATCCATTTCTCATACATACTGCGACCCGCACGTCCAAACACCGAGACCCTCGCTCGCGCCCCAGGGCTTTGGAGCGGTTTCATATCGTATCCCATGGCGAGGATCAGGACGTTCAGATCGAACTGTTCATCATTGGCCACCACTCGGGTGGGTGTGATGGCTTGCACTCCTTTGCCGTTGGTATCGACCAGTTGTACATGCGGCTGATTGAAGGTCGGCAGGTACTTGTCGTGGAAGCAGGGCCGTTTGCACCAGCTGGGATACCACGCTTTCAGCTGTTCGGCTACCGTCCGATCATGGACTATCTCATCGACGCGGGCCCGGATGCGCTCGGCTCGAGGTAGGTCGAAAGTGCGGGGATATGGTTGGAGCTCTCGTCTGCTCGCTTAGCTTACGGGGCGGAGAGTAGTGCCAACTGAAACTAAGTTATCACAGTCACATTAGTGAGGCTGTTTTGGCGGGCCAGAATTGTGTCTTGTCAGGTAGGGACTTTTGTCCTTGTAGGTAGGGATGGATGAGCACAACACCCAAGATGTGCCTTTACTGGGGGGGGGGGGTAAAGGTAGAAGTGAGAGATATCAAGTATCGATGGAGCTATCGGCTCAGCGTTTTGTTTGACTTCGGAGATTATGGAAAGTATCCCGCAGTCAAAGAGACTTTTCAGGCAGGATCCTTCTCTAAACCTACTCCGAATCTTATGGACTTGAGATTCCATATATCTTTATCTCAGCTACACTATCAATCAAGCACGATAACCTCACCAGTACCCGTAGGTGTAGTGAGCCGATACAGACAGTCTATACCGTTAGAAACCAATAAGGGTGGAATTTATATGATGCTCGAAGTACCAGGAAGCAGATTTTACTGAGCGAGGACTTATGAAATGAACAAATGAGGTGAAGTCAATTCATTATAGCTATCTAGAAGATTGTCGACATGATGACAGAACCGAGCAAATGAATCAGGGGCGACAACCTCTTACAAACCAAATCGAACAAGCAAGCAGCAAATGCCTCCAACGCCTTAGCTAGCAAATACGACCAAGTCTCAAAAACGCTCAAACCCTCGACCATTCCCAAAACCAGGTATCATCCTTCCAGTAACTATTATACGATATTTTTGCCCGATGTCGACGTTGTTTCCGCCACTGTTTATCCGGAGGCCACTGTAATCCCCCTAAATTCCTGAGCACGCGAATGTTCCGTCCCTCATCCCGGAACCGATGTTTACCTGTCTCCGTAAACACAGAATTACAGAATAAGCAACTCGTTTTCCGGGACGTTTTACTGAAGGCAAAGTATAGCAAACTTCGATGCGGACATGCAAAATAGGGCACCATCGCGTCCGGGCGGGCCGGGGACCATAAATCGACGTAGTAAGCCGTAGAAGCGTATAAGCTCATGATTCCGTTGTGATTTGGATACAGATAGAGAGCGACTTCCAGACGGATCCATACATGCGGGTGGTCGCGAATCTCACATCGGTGCACGAGGCAACGCTTGCCGTCCAGTGTAAGCCCTAGTTTGAATCTTTCATCCATTTCAATCGGATAATGATGACGGTCTTTGTCCTCCGCGGTGCCGGCCAGGTGCCGGACTAAGCGGAACTTATCTCGAGCAGTGAGGCTGATGCAGGGACAGAGATCGACGATACCGGCTCGTGCGTTGCAGAGATGGCGGAGGCGAGCATCCGACAACTCCCCCCTGGTCGTGTGATAATCCGTATCCTCCATTTCGTTCCATGGGTGTAGCTTGAGACATCCCGAGCAGTAGGCCCAGTGATGGTTCTGAAGTTGGTGCAAGAGGATGTTGCGAGGAACTTCCGGATTACTCGAGCTGATATAAGGATTCCTGTTGGCTAACAGTCGGGGAAATCGAAGTTGGGGATCTCGGATGATCAATTTGTAGGCTCGGTAAAGTGTATGGCAAGTCAAGACCAGACAAGCACGGGATGGCAGAGGTAGCAGCATCAGGATTATCTCAAGGATATGAGGTGGGAGACGAAGGAGACTATTCACTCCGTGTTGAGGACTCCCCAGAGGAGGTATTTCCGGTGATTGTGGAATCCTGGAGTACCCACAGCGAGTACCCAGGCTGGGGATTGCCATCATCAGATTTCTGAGGAGTGGATGCATGATTGTTCGTTGATGAAAGATGGTAGCGATTCAGTTGTGAAGACAAATGAGAGATGAGTCCGGGCAATATGAGGAAGACTTTGATCACCACACTGAGTCAGTAATTTGAGTCATTTGATGAAGTTGGATCGATGTCATGGCGATCGGAGAACACAGGGTTACAGTACGTACCCATGAGGCAATCAGAAGCTCGTCTTGGTTACGCCCGAAGGCGGCCGTCACCAGCACTGCGTAGAAGTGCGAGCTCTTTGCTGGTGTTCTTTCTTTGTTTTTCAATTTTTTTTTGTGCCATTCCCGTCATCACAATCAGGGTGGTCGCCCTGAGGGTGAATCCTCCGGCGTATCCCGCCGCGCCGAGCCTGAGCGCCCGGTACGAGACCGAACGCTCAGCCGCTCTACGGAACTCTGCCCCGAAACACGCAGAGCGACAGGTGGGCTCGCCCCGGAGCCGTTTCGGGGGGTCCCCGGATTGGCAGGCCGGTTCCTGCGTCCGGGTCGCCCCCTAGACCGACTCCGGAGCGAGCCCACCCGCCGCCTGCCATGCTCCGGGTCAAAGCCCGCCTCCAGCCAGGCACGGTGCCGCGACCACAACGACCGCGGCCAGCGAAGAGTCGAACAGATGTCCCAAAGAAGGGACAAGATCTGCACGACGAGGCTGGCTAAAGATATATTGATGCTGGTATCCATTTGGAATGATAGAATTGATATGATTGAATGCTAAGTTTTGATTGGAAAAATGATGTTATTGGGGGGAAGAATAAATCAAAGGAAAAGAGAGATGCTGTCAGAGACTTTGAGTAGGAGGAGGTACTACACCTGAATCTAATGCTGGAATGGCAGGCACGTTTGCAACTGGAAAGCAATACTACAATTCACAAATATACAAGCAAGGCAAGAACTACGGACTTGATTCACTGTAGATGATCTGATTCAAATCTATTTTGGAACCTCATCGAAGCCCGCCTAGTCCGGTCGTTGCAGCCAGAATCACCCAGTCTACCTAAATCCCCCGGGAAGACTCATCAAAAGCAGCGTGAATTCCATCTCACTCAGTTGAGTGAAGGCTTGTTATGAACAAATTAGGCAGAAGTTGACAAAGCTGCGATGATAGACCATGTCGAGCACTAGAGGGAACAATAGTGCTAGCGTAGCCGATGACACAGCAGCGGCGGTTTGAGGTTTAAAAGAGCCTAGGATCGGGGCATATTAGTATTTAGGCATAGTCGGCACAGCCACACTTGCTGCAGGGGTGGGAAAATAGCGCAGTGCATACAACTACAGAGTAATATACAACAAATTGTCGTCAGGAGAACACCACCATCCCTTATTCACACGGTCTGGCAATTTCCGGGACATAAAAAAGGTCTTCAGAGCGAGCCAAATCAGATAATATCTATGCTGGAAATTCAAGATTCCAGGCTCGAATACAGTTCCAATCTTGCAAACGTGGTTTACCCCCTTTTGACCCACCAAGCAGTCCCCATCACCAGCACGCCCATAATCACCGCCCACCGCATTAAACCCCTCCTGATGTAGTGCGCCGCCACCCGCTCGATCGCCTTGGAATCATTGATCTTGGGAAACGGCATGTCCTTTGGAACCTCCTTCCCCAAGCCCCGGCAGAGCGGCTCCCACCCGTCCCGAACATCAAACACTACCAACCGATCCGCCGGGACCACCTCCCTCAACCACTCCAGATGGCGCTGGTAGACCCACGCTTTATCCTGCGCCTTGCCATCGTAGACTCGCGCCCACTGCGCTCTTACCAGCGAGATGAACGTCATGAAATGTCGCATCCCGGGCAGGGGCAGTAGGGCCGCCCATAAGAACCACGGGGCCACAACAGAGGTGAGCGTGTCGATGCTCTGGCGCCAGGCTTGCGGGTCGCGCACCGTGACGACCACCTTGGCGTTCGGGTAGAGCGTAAGCAGCTCGGGTACCAAGTGTGAAGCGGGCGCGTCCGTGATGGCGGCGTAGCCGGTGGTGAGGGAGTGGAGGAGTGACAGCGTTTGGTCGGTGTCATTGCGCAGCCATGTGCGAAGAAGGTGGTTCCAGCGCGGGAGCTCCGTGGGCGGGCCGAGGGTGATCTGCGTGCCGCCGTGGTAGACGGGGCCCTCCAGGAGGATGGAGAGGGCGGCGCTGAGCGAGGCAGTGCCGGTGCGGGAGAGACCGGCGCCGATGACTTGGATGGTGGTGTTGGGTTGGGGGGTGGAGGGAGTTTGGCCCATTTTCAGTTGCAAGTGGATAGTTGGCGCAGTGGACAAGGATGAGGGTTTGGTGGGGAGGAAGGAAGTGAAGTGGTAGAGATGGTTTAAATAAACCGTGCCCCCTGGATTTGGCTGTGCTACCATGATATGTCAATTTCTGTATCATATCATCCCTGTCATGTTTGGCAGGGGCCGGCGGGAAGATCCGTCGGTCCAGTAAGCTGGTCTCTGGAGTTTGACACCCTACTATGAAGTTTTAGACATAATCTCATATGCGACAGGCTCCAGCGAAGATGATACTGCGCAAATGGCCCGGATCTTACCGTGGTTGTTCCCCCTCTTACCGCTCAATTGTTGCTCGCTGTGTGACCGCGCGGGGACTTTCTCTCAAGAACTACGGTGCCAGAATCGAACCGATACCAGTCTAGAGGCTGATAAATCCAGTTATAGTCCTTGTTTGCTGCCCATTGCCTCCGCAGAATCCTAGTCGATAATTATGCAAATGGACCTACCATGACAGTGAAAAGTAAACTCCAAACATCAACAGAGCATGAAATGGTTGATGAAACCCATAGAGTGGAACACAGTCTTGAATAAACCACACTATGGTGAGTGGTGGTATTTATGGGGACTAGTGGGGTCAGATGATCTGGCTACCAACCTTGATAGATTACCGAATACTGATCTTCCAGCTCGATTCCCACTGGTTACACCCACTCCTCTACAGCAACCAGTCCAAAAACCCCACGGCTTCAACCGCCTCTTCACCCCACAATGCTCGGTGGCATCTTCTCTTTTATTCTCACAGTTCACTATTTACAATGTCCCGATAGTCCTTGATCTCTAGATGGACCACAACCCGCCTAAGTACTATCCATAACCCAAACACAATCCCAACGAAGAGAAACACTTTGACAAGAATGACCAAGTTCACTGTCTTGGCTGCTCCACAACTCCTTGGCTCCTCCCACATTGACGCCTCGCCGTTTAGACGAAACAGCATATCCTCCTCCTCTCGAGTGGCAAGGCGCTGGCGAAATACCTGTGCAATCTCTCTGCCAAGCCCAGGCAGGTCACTGAGTTCCTTCAATGACTCGATATTCCTTCGGTCCTCCCAGAGGATTTTCCCCACTTCGCTAATTGACCATCTGGGGTTGATTCGACGTACTAATCGAATACGATCGCCAGCCTGTATGAAACCCGGTTGCAAGACGCGCAGATACCACCCAGTCCGTCTGGTCGTTTGCGTTCGGATTGAAGCTTGCGCAAACTCAAAGCGGCGATTTAGCTTGAAACATGGCTGTCGGGGCTCACTGACTTGGACTAGAACGCCTTCAGAACCGATCTCAAGGATATCGCCGATGCAGGTGTTGGACTCATCGAAGGTGTGTGCTGAAATATTCTCTCCATATCCGCCAATGTTGAAAAAGTGTGCTCGCTCGGGAACTTCTCGCTTCCAGGCCTCGTAGTGACGAGAGCAGTATTGATGCAAGGCTTTATCGGCCCCACCATGGTGTTCGTACGCTTGTTCATCGCCAGTTATGCCCTGGTTGGTGACATACACCCTGCCCGCACATGGTGACTTCTCGATGGCTGAAGTCACAGACCCTGGTCCCAGTTGTTTGACTTTGCCAATCCGCACGGATGACAGAATATCGTCGGCAGGCAGTGGAGCCACAGAAGTGGATTCATTTAAGAAATCAGACATGATGAATGACCTTTTCTGGAGACATGAACTTTCCAGCACAACTCGTGGCCAAGGCCGTCTTTTAACAGGCTTGAAGGCTTAGTACCCATACTATGCTTGGTCCCCGGCCCCCAATCTCAGATTGCATGACACGCAAACAAGGTAAAGGCTCTGCCAAGCGCGAAACCACAGTTGCATGTCTGAAATCAAGGCCGGGGCAAACAAACACGCAGGATTCACTACGAAGGCAACCGAAGTACAATGACCTCTAACCACCCAGACATATACCCAGACATACATTATCATCCTTGAACCTGAGAGGTATACCCAGGATGTTACCCGATCAAATCACATCGCAATACCAGGATTTTGATCCTGTGATATCAGCCTGCATGGCCACAAAACTCTATCAGAAACCAAGATGCGCCAGTGTATGTGCATCGCTGTCCAACCATTGGTGGGCTTCCTGAGCACCACGGATCAATGCTTCACCTTGCGGACTCCGCGCTCGAACCCGAAAGTCAAATGGCGCTGGGTGACTGATGACCCCTGGCTGGAACTCCGGGGTCATTTGCTTGTGATTCTCATCCTGGCTATTGTGCCTTGTTTTGACTTCGAATACAGCCAGAAACTGCGCAACGATGATGAAGATCGACGATTCTGCCAGTATACGTCCGGGGCAAAGTCGCCGCCCGAAGCCGAATGCCATTTTCCGCGGATCAAGCTCCGGGCTCTTACCCTCCAATGACAGAAAACGCTCAGGTTCGAATGTCATCGGATCGTTGTAAGTGCGCGGATCATGCATAAACGCCCTTTCAGCAGGTGAGCGTATGAGCTTGAAATACCAGGAAGGAGGATTACCAGACGTTGGGCAGAATGATTGACTCTTTCGGGATAAAGTACCCATGAAAGACATCGCCCTCCACATTGATATGCGGTAATGCCATTGGAGTGACCGGATGCCATCGAAGAACTTCTTTCACGAGTGCATTGATGTAGGGTAGATCCGAACGATCATTGAATGTTGGAAGCCTGTTTTCGCCGATCACCACGTCGATCTCATCTTGCGCCTTTCTCTGAACATGAGGATACAGAGTCATTGCGAGAATAAAGGTCGAAAGAGCTGATACAGTCTGCAGCATGTCAGCAAAACTTCTACCCAGTATTGTGGAATGGGCCGACGTGCAGTGTCAGCTCCTGCGCTGTATAGCGACAAGGCCGTCCATTTGTGGCTAGACTCGTCTTTTGCTGCGCGTAACAATTGCGAAAGAAAGCAATCTGAGTCTTGTTGCGTTTCCATCTTGTGCCGCACAAATGCATAAGGAAGCTCAGTCATTCTTGTCAGGTTATTTCGCCAGTCCCTTGCAACTGTCTTAAAATTCATTCCCGGTATCCAGTCCGGAACAAGGCGCACTGATTCTGATTAACTTCCCCTACGAAAAAAAAAAGAAAAGGCACATACACCATGGCATCAAATCCACCAAGTACTCCGCGGGAAGCGAAGCCTGTGCGAACTCCTCCATTACCTTATGCGCTAACTCAACCAAAGGATCCGAACCTTGTTTGTTCGTCTTGTATCCGTAAACCAGGTTGAGAATGAATGATCCTGCTTCGCTGCAAAGAAATTCTTGTCAGTGCATTTCTGTTTGCAGGATGTTCATGCAGGATGACGAACCCTCGGATGTGTTTTACCAAGTCATCGGGATTTTCCAGTATGCGGGCGAGAAAATGAGCGGCCTCTTTCTCCTGCATTGGTTCAAATCGAGCCGCGGCGGTTGGAGAACCAAGGACACGCATTGTATTCTTCCTATGAATACGCAGCCGTTCCGAGTAAGGTGACAGAGCGACGGATTGGCTCCATCCAATCCTGATAGAGTTTGGTCAATTGCTCACTTGTCGTTGCCGTGCATATGCCACGGAGAAGGGGAAATACATGTCACCACAAAACACCTGCCGTGGCCTGGAAGAATAGATGGCCCCTCGCTTTTCGAGCATCTCAAAGGCCAGACTAACGTCGTTCAATATCACAAATGTTTGACCCATGACTGTGACTGAGCTAATCGGGCCTTTGCTGGCATGTCAACTCCGCACGGCATAAACTCCGAACGGCCATCTTGTCATTGGGCTGTATACTCACCGTATAGATCACGATGGCGTAGCCAGTGAAGGTACTCCTTCTGACCACCTTTTGGTAGAGCATTGAGATTTCCCATCCAGGGCATCATGCTCCTAGGTCCGGGTGGAAGAGGGGGCCTGTTGCGCCAGCGTCCCGCTAGAGTTACAACCAAGTAGAGACTTATGATAGCGGGGAACAAAACAAATAGGCCTGTCATATGGGACATTGCGACGATTGAACTTGAAAATCAGATGCACACTCAGCGAATATCTTGCAGCAGGTCTACTCCATCAACAGTGCCTACTCTATGCGCCTGGTCCTTTTATAGCCACATTCACCGCGATTCCACGCATCGCGAACAAGGCCGCTAGCTGATCGACAACCGGGCTCAGAGCCCAGCCAGATAGGATTCTTTCCAGTCTCTAGACGCTTTGGTCGCTCTGCATATCGGCCTGCAGAAGGCGACTTTAGCCGCTACCGCGGGGAGGGAGCGGAAACTGCATTGGGCAGAAATCTTGGCCCAGAAAAACCCCGAAATCGCACGTGCAGCTCCACCAACTTTTTCTTGAAGAAAAGCTAATTGCAGCGTAAGAAGCAATTTCTTCAACAACATGAAAGACTTGCCAAGCGGAGTTATTTGCCTCTGCCAAAACTGACAAAAGTAGGGTCCCACAAACTGGGCACAGGCCACGCCGAGTCAACTGGCGCCATGTTCACATCTCGGACCGTTCATGGTGTGTGATAAAGTTTTATCATAGAAGCTCAAGGTTCTGACGAACGTGTTGTCATAGTGCATGGAGCTACTGTGAGGAAACTGTTTCGGCTGTCGAGTGGCCGCTGATAGTGAGAGTTCATAGGCGGCTCAAGTCGTGAAGAAACTCTCTTTAACAGCCACAGAGCTCGTTGGCGGATTCTTAATCCGTGATTCGAGTCTGCCAATATTGAAGGAACTTGTAGATCTCGCGCTTTGATTATGGTCTAGGCTCGGGGTCTGCTTTCTTGGTTGAGAGCACCATTCCCCGTGAGCTGGGCACGCACGGACTCGCAGTCGGGATTTCTGGCCACCCCATGAATCCGGTATCATGACTTGTTTCACAATGAGGATTCCTGCTTCGGGAAATGCTCTACAGTCAGGCCCAAAGCCAATCAATTGTACTAGCCATGGGCTTTGAGACTTGGCTCGGGTCACTGCCTGCGAATTCTGAACTATGCCTTGTCTCCTCGTGACAGGAATGAGCCCTGCCAATGCCTTACTCTTCTGGTCTGTCTACCCTCCTTATAATATCAGGTTTCGTGAACATATACAGGACAATCCACTGGTGTCGCCATTGTGACTTAATCCGCTGGATTCCGAAGTATCATCTAGAGCTAGATGCAGCATGATCTGTTTGAATTCGACCTTATTTGTCGGTTGAGAAGTATGCAACATCGAGAACCTGATCCGCGCAGGCAATAACATTGTATAACCTGATTTACACAGCATGAGACTTGATTTCCATGAAGTCTCTGTCTGAATCAGGTATGATGAAATGAGGATAAAGCAACGAAGGACTTTCGCTGGGAGGGATAAGAAGCAGCAATGTTGGACGACAAGCTCAGTGATCTTAGAAGCAAGCTCATCAAACCTGATACATCTTGCATCCACGGCAATCATGGCAGAAATGAATGATATGGTGGTCATTGGCGCTGGTAAGTAGCACATTGTCCCCGAGGAGGATGTGCTCCACTAATCAGCTGTCGTGATATGCATCAGGTCTGTATGGCCTCATGGCTGCGAAAACATATCTAGATGTCAATCCCACTGCCACTGTGGAGATTCTTGAAGCGAGTCGTTCTGTGGGAGGAGTGTGGGGTCGAGATAGGCTGTGCCGCGGCGTCAAAACAAACAGTATCGCGGGTAGCTATGCGTACAGCGACTTCCCCATGTCTGAGGCACGCTTCGGTGTCAAGTGGCACCAACACGTACCAGGTGAGGTGGTGTACAAGTACTTCGAGGCCTTCGCGACCCAGTATGATCTCCACCGCCGCATCCGTCTCTCGTGCCGTGTCGAAACCGTGGAGAAATGTTCCGACGGGTCTTGGTCCATCTCATCCATTCAAGACAATCAACCCATCACGATCAACACACGTCGTCTGATCGTCGCAACGGGCCTAGCCTCCGAACCTATTATGCCCCAATACCCCGGCTCTTCATCCTTCGAGCGCCCACTACTCCACTGTAAAGACCTCGCCAGTCATCACGAGCTATACAACACCGCAAAAGCTGTTGCAGTCGTAGGAGGCTCCAAATCCGCCTGGGACGCCGCCTACCAGTTCGCCTCCCTAGGCACCCGGGTGCACTGGATCCTGCGCAAGTCCGGCCACGGGCCCGCGCGCCTCCTGCCGGCACAAGCCACGCCCTTCCGCCTCTGGATGGAGAAGATCGTGACCACGCGGTGCATGACCTGGCTGAGTCCCTGCCCCTGGGGCGACACAGACGGCAACGGCGGCGGCTGGATGCCGCGCTTCCTGCAGGGCACGACGATGGGCCAGTGGATTTCGCGACACCTCTGGACCTGGTTCAGCACCACGTGCCTGCAGGACCCAGCCCTCGTCCGCAGCGCCGAGACCCGCAAGCTGCAACCCCAGGCCATCAAGCCGTTCACCCCGGCCGGCGGCTTCAGCGCCCGCAACTACCCGCCCGACTTTTTCCAGTACATCGACAGCGGCATGATCCAGATCCACACGGCCGACATCGACCATCTCGCTGCACCGGGCTCCATTTACTTGCATGACGGCCCCTCCCTCGACGTCGACGCCCTCATCGTCTCCGGAGGCTGGCAGCACTGGCCGACCATCAAGTTCCTCCCCGCCGAAATCCACGAGCAGATGGGCTTCCCCCGCACCCGGGGCGCGCGCAACCCGCAGGCTGAGCGCATCGATCGCGAGATCCTCCGCCAGTTCCAGTTCCTCAACAACGGTATCATGGATAGAGACGCTGCTGCTGCTGCCGCGGCGGCGGCAGCAGACACAAAGGTGCCCCACCGCGACGACGCCCCCTGGCGCCTCTACCGCTTCATGGTGCCTCCCGCCTTCATCAACGACCGCAGCATCGGCTTCGCCGGCTTCGTAGCAACAACCCTCAACGCCGTGTGCGCGCAGACGCAAGCCCTCTGGCTCACGGCGTATTTCAGCAGTAGTAGTGGTGGTGACGACAACCACTCAACTGATCCCAACAACCTTACCAGATCATTACCAGTAGGCCGAGGCACACCCGACCAGATCTGGCGGGACACGCTGGTGCATTCGCAGTTCTCGCAGTGGCGGTACCCCGGAAGCTTCGGGCACCGGTTCCCGATCGCCTTCTACGAGGGCCTGCCGTATGTGGATCTGCTCTTGAAGGATCTGGGCTTGCGGGTCAGAAGGAAGGACGGGGTGTTGCGCGAGTGGTTCGAGAGTTATGGGCCCGAGGATTATTGTGGGATTGTGGGGGAGTGGTTGCGGTTGTGGAGGGGAGGGGGAGGGGATATAGTTGAGTGCAGTGAGTGACTGGGATGCATGATGAGGTATAGTATAGTTGATTAGAAGATGGAGGGCCGTTGTTTGCTTTTAGCCTTCCAGGTCCTTGAAATGCAGGTGGGTATTTTGGAGTGCAGCAGTGTATAGTACAGCGAAGAGCGTCTCGTCTTCTGGAATATTTCGGATGAGAGGTGTTAAGTCGTCCGAAAATACCAAGCCAACCTAGGAGCGGGGATGGTACACCCTGTAACTTAGTCAAGCAGACCGCGAGGCGAAACATCATCAATCATTCCCCTTATACATCCGTCCGAAGTTCCAGTAGAAGGGGAGTCTCAATAGTTTACGTAGAACATGAATATGAGCCTACCCCCAAATTCTAACCATGGGTTCCCTTGCTTTTGTGGCGTTTTGGATTCGTTCTAGCCCGGCTGTTCATTGTCAAAATATTCAAGATCGCCAGTCCCGCCAGATGTTCTTCGCTTCAAACTCCGGTCTCCCGAGCTCATAAATACCTCCCTATCAGTATGTGGTGGTGGTCTCTTCTTTAAATTGTTCTTCTTTCTCCAGCGGCGGGAGCGGTTGCCCGTCCAGTCGCAGTCGCAGTCGCGAATCTGAATCTGAGCCAGCGACAGGCGGTCTCTTGTTCATCTGGCCAGGCTGCAAAATGCTGTCCACCTTGGTTCCGACTAAGATCCTGGGATCCCAAGTCACGATTGGTGTTGGCTGTACTGCCCGTAAGAGGCTTTGGAAGCTACACCCCGGCGATCCGAAGAATAGAAGGAACTAACGGATGATAGTAGGGAGTACTACTTGCAGTGCACACACGGCCTGCTGCAAGACTGAATCGGCAGGTGGTTTCCAAAAAAACAACCCCGATTTCAGCAACAACTACTTACTAATCAGCATAGTTCGTCCTCGGCTCTTTGAATATCTGCGAGCCGGATGATGGTAGCAGTAATGGTACTGGCGGCCCTGGTAATGGGGGCATTGGATGATAGCAGTAGGGTTTGAGTGGGGGAAAAGAAGAAAGCAGTAAGTTAGGGTTGATGATAGTGCTGGCGCTGTGCACCACTCACATATTATAATCATTTCTGCCGTAAATATTGCGTCAGAAACACTCTGATTGATAACAAAGGATAACTGTTGTCAAGATGCATGAAATACGATGTTCTTTGGTGGGCTGGTGGTTAGCGCTAATCAAGTTCAGAACAAAGATTGGGTTGGGTTATCAGGTTCACTCTATCTAACCCGCACTCATCTACACAGTAACCACCTGCCTTCGCTGTATTGAAGCTACACGCTGGGAGGTTAATAGCTGGGTGAGTGACCACCAGCGACTGCCTTCTGTTTTATGTTTTTGCCTTTCGTCTCGATTTCTGAATGCTCAAGGAGGGTGGATATACCTTTCTAACTATCCTGTCCAGCATGTCTACTCCAAAGACAGCATTTCAGCTCGAGTGCCCTATCTCTAAGATACCCGATATAATCTGCGCTGAAGTAGATATGCAGATATAAGGTATAGGACTAGTGTTTAGACAGTACTTCATATTCATTCCTTCTTTTCGGTCCAGAAATTAACCACCGCAGCAGCCCTCTAACGACTGTCTTTATTCTTTCTCGAAGATCGCGTACTATCCTTTCGGGTCTCCCCTGACCCATACTTACGTTCTTTGATCTGCAAACCTTTCTTCCGATCGGAACGCTTCCGCGACTCCCGCAATGAGGGTTCTTCATCTGAGCTGGAAGGCTCCTCTTCGTCTTTTCTCCCGCCCTCTGAATCATCATCGCTTTCCTGCTCTGACGAAGTATGCTTATGGGTCTCTGCCTCGCTGGATTCCGTCATCGAAGTCTCAGAGGATTCCTCTACCTTTCGCCGCCGGGGGTCGGCAGCGCGACTGGATTGATACCTCCGATTGTCCCGTCGGTCGCGGTCTTCCTCCCAATCATCCCTGCGGGTTGAGCCCTGCTTCGCAAGATCCTGCTGGCCCATGCCGTGGACGGTGTGCAGGTAGTCGTCGAACCGCGCGGAGGCCGCTTCGACCAGCCTCAAGTATTCGGCCTTGAGGACCGGGGTATGCCTCCGCTCTTTGCCCTCCGCGGCTGCCTTAGCATCCTTCTCGGCGGCCCGGTCCTCAGCGATGGCGATGGCGATGTGGAAGGCGTTGCGGATCTGGCGGCCGTTCCAGCGGCGCTGCGGGTCGTTGCTCCGGTAGTGCTCCCGGGCAAAATCGCGGATCTCGTCCCGGTTGACCCGGATCACGCTCTTGCCGCGCTTCTCGGCCAGGTCCATGTTCTCGACGAAGATCTTCTGCGTGGATCGCTTGTCTAGCGGGGGATAGTAGAGGCTGATGTGGACGCGCGACCGGAAGGCTTCGTCGATCTTGCCGACTCGATTCGTGGTGAGAAGGAGGATACCCTGGTAATACTCGAGAACGCGTAGGAAGACCGAAACCAGGCTGTTGTGCTTCACATTGTTCTCTCTCTGGCTCAGGAAGACATCGGCCTGTTGTCGGGTATTAGTCCGATGCCCCAAAGCATTTTTTCCTCTTGTGTTATGCAACTCACCTCGTCTAATAGGAGAACACATTTCCACTTCTGCGCTTGAGTGAATATATACTTCAGGCGGGATTCCACGTCGGTGGCTGTAATTCCCAGGTCACCACAGGTGATGGGGTACAGTGGCAAATTACAAAGCTCAGCTACACATTCTATAGGCCGGTCAGTGTCTTACTGGGTGGTTCTCTCAATCAATCCTTACCAGCAGTTGACGTTTTCCCCACTCCGGGTGCACCATGGAGGAGAATGATAAGTCCCTTGCCTACAACAGGAGATTAGCTCGTTTCAAGCACGCTATAGAGTCCTCGAAGCGTACCCTTCCCTCGGATAAGATCCGCTTGTGAGTCCCGATCCAGTGCTTCCTCACGACGATGACGGAAATGCGCTTGGACAAGCGAATGAACCATCTGTTTGTGACCAGGGGGCAACACCAACGAGTTCCATCCACGGTCCCTCGGTTGATCGGCGCCAGCATCGAGGTCCACGTGGTTGAGATCAATCACCGCTATCTCAGCGTTAGCTCCAGGGCAAATGCAGCAGAGGCTCTGTATGTATCAAGTGAGCATGTCCATGTGCTTACCCCATTTTCGATCTTTGAGCACAAATGCGAAGACTCGGTTGGGGAAAAGGATAAGATCCTCCTCTGGCACGTTCTCCGGGTTGTCATCGAGATAGCGAGTATCCGTGGTCAGTAATTTGTTCTTGGCTATGAAATCCTCCATCCTGCGATGGTCGATGTCGAGATCGTTGTATACACGGTCATTTTCGCAACAGTCCACTTGGCGACACCCTCCAGCGGATACCAAAGTAACTTCGGCTGATTCGGATCCCTTGGGTGGATTGACACCGAACTCGACTTTATAACTCCAACTTGGGTCTTTATCGCGGTCGTCCCAGATCGCAGTCTGGAAATCCACAATGACTTCGCTGTCGATTTCCTCTCCCTCGTGTAGATTCGGTCCCCTGTATTGCAGATGCGTGCCTTTTGAAATCCGTAAGAATTTCCGACCACTGGATACCAGAGTTTCTCTGAGAACCTTTGGGTCTTCGACGAATTGGAGAGGATAAATGGTCAACGCACATACCGACCTCTCCAAGCCGAGCTCGACGATGTGAAGAAGGCGTCGGATACTGTCGAGCGCACAATTCAAGTCTGCGATCGGAATCGATTGCTTCAGATCGCGGATCGGGTGCGGGGAACGCAGGCGACTGTTGACGAGATCAAAGCTGTGCTTAAAGAGTTCCTCACCCAGCAGTTGATGAAGACCAAATGTATGTATCAATTCCCTCGCGAAGCGACAACTCTCCAGAGATGGGATCAACTCACCACAACGCACAGGGCTCCAGGAAATCCTGATGCAAATCCCACGGTACAAGGCGGAGTCTACCAAGCCCCGAGCATACATATCTCCCGGGGAAATTATCCACGCCCTGGAAGCGGCATTCCCCTCGGTCCTGTCGTCCCCAGATGATAGTGATGCAACGACCCACCGACCCCTGCAGCGAGTGCTACAAGCCGGCTTCTCCATGGCAGGACCGGACCAGCAACGAGCGAGCTGGACGATCTCCGACCCCAAAGTCTACGGGTGGTTCAAATCCCGGCACTCGCGCGCGCTCGTCGTCCACGGAAACTGCGCCCTGCAACGGATCAGCCCCCTTTCCTTTTTCTGCGCGCTGCTGATCGAGAGCCTGCAGAGCCTCGGGCCCATCATCGTCTCGCACCATTTCTGCGGGTTGCACCCGCCGTCCGACCACCGCGACGTCGGGTCCGCGGGCTCCATCTTGATGCCCGTGCTTCTGCATCAGCTCCTGCGGCAGTGGACGTTCGGGGAACTCGAATGTCTCAGCGTCGACGACGCCCAGGCCTTCCGGGGTTCGGTCTCGAACCTGACGCCGGACTTTCTCGTCTCGATCTTGCGCAAACTGATCAAAGCCCTCCCGCGCCGGCAGCCGGTCTTTTTGATCCTCGACGGGATCAATTACTACGAGACGCGCGAATTCGGCTGGGAGACGAAGCGCTTGGTCAAGAAGCTCGTCAAGCTGCTCGGGGCGGGAGGAGCGCTGTACAAATTACTGATCACGAGTACCACCCGCGTGCTCGATATCGATGAGTATTTTGAGAATGATGAAAAATTGTATGTGCCCGTCGAACCGACCCCGCGGGGAGTGGGCGCTGCGAATCAACAGCTGAAACGGAGATTCACTTTTGGGCGGTCGACCAAAAATCCATAAATCGAGGGCAAAAGCACGTAATCAGAAGCCTCAGTGTCAGGTGAACAGTAGCTCAGACACCTGTAACTAGGAGGACCCGCTAGTTAGCTAGTCTCATTAATAAGAATAACCTCTTCCTCTACACTTCCCTTACACTCAGTAAGAACATAAATTTCCCAACTCCATCGCCACAAATGGGTGCCGGAAAATCTTGAAGGAGAGAAGAAGTTCTTGCTGGTTAGATCAGCATTGTTTGTAGCTTCGCAGCCTGGCTTAGGCAGCAACAGAATAATGTCTAGACACCACGTGGCCGCCTTGGATCTTTTCATAGCCCTTGCAGTGAGAAGGACTAGATCTCTGTGAACCTATTCAGCTTCTCATTAAGTAGCGGCCTCGGTCGACATGTATGGATGTTGTCGAAGTTCCCTGCACTTACTGGCCCCTCAACCGCGGGGCGAGAACTGGCGACTTGCTTTCCTGCATGGAAGACGCCTCTCAAATGATTCTTCCTCGTGGGTGGCTTTGAGACCGCCGAAGGAGGGTCAAAAGATGGCAAAAAGCACTAGATCCTGGAGAAAGGATCATATGCTCGAGGGTCTTTTATCCTTCTAGATTCTCTATGTCTGGAAGAAGGTGGAACTTGCTGTCGTATAGTGCTAAAAGTCATGTATTAGTATCATTTCTCTTTTATGAACATAGGTTTTCATACGGTGGGTTCGGATTCTCAGTGTTCTCCCTGCTCTGATGCGTGGAGGTTGGTGGTCGAAACAGTGTTTGCAGTCGGGAAAACGCGTCAAGGTGTTTTATCTGGTGCCATATACCTCCCGAGTCCGAGGCTACGCCAGTCTGCCCTTGTCGGCGGGAATGATGACTACTATGCCGAGAGTCATTACTTCTAGACCGATGGTGGTGGCTGTGGCGGGTATCGACCTTTCGGCGCGAGCGGTGGCTGTGCTGCGAATCCCGACTCTGATCTCTATGTCGAGAATGACGGCTGCGCTGGGAATCTCGACTCTTTGGCCGTGAGTGGGTCTCATCACGAGAAAAGCTTCGTCTACGCGAACGCTGGGCTTCGTGCTTGGGACTGTTGTGCACAGATGGTTCTTCATCGGCATCCTCTGCAAGGCCCTCATCCTCGGTGTGATCTTTCTCCTGTGCAGTCAATTCAGCTCGATTGAGAGATGAGTTCCACTTGCTTGAGACATACCAGGCCGAAGTCAGAAGCATCAGGAGACCTGCTGGCGGCCAGTTTGCTTGGTCGGGGAGGCGATTACTCTTGGCCGGTCTCTTGCTGACCTGGGAACGGCCTCCATCCCTTCTGTTGGACTTTCTGTTGAGACGCATTTGCGCGTTGGCTCTTTGGGCCCATTGCTTGTCTATGGGAGCCGGAAGCTGGAGAAGAATATCCACAATTGAATGGTGACCGTGATCCTTTGCCAGTTCCAAAGGTGCTTTCCCCCGCACAGACCAGTTTGTGACATCTGCCCCTTCTTCTATCAGCACTTTGATGACTGTCTCGTGTCCGAATCTTGCTGCCAATTGGAGTGGCGTCGAACCGATCTCTCCCTCGGGATGCGTTCCTGACCGTTTCGGTCCCAGAGATTGAAGTCCAGTTTCGAGTTCCACATGAGCGCTAGGCAGACACTCGATCGCTGTGGTAAGACCAGTCAGGGCCACAAAATGCCATGGTGTTAAATCCGAACTGAGCTCCCTTTCTGGGCTTGCTTGGGTGGACAGATCAAGTCGAGAAATGTGTCCCATGCATTCATCAGCCTGAGCAAGCAGTTGAATGGTTTGCAAAGAGTCGTTAAGTAGGATAGCCAAGCCCAACCCACTCAGAGAGGCTTTGAAATTGATTTGATCCTCGGCTGACGATTTGGATAGGTTGAAATCTCCCACTGCTGCCTTTAGATAGGATGAGAGCCTATGATGAGATGTCGAGCCGGCCAGAAATATCGTCCTGACCTCGTTACTTGTATGCTGTATGGAGTCAAGAAGCACATTGACTGCATCAGCATTGTTCGTCAGAGCCGCCAAGTATGCTGCTGTCAGTCTGCCATGTATCCCGGTCTCGCTACTACCCATCCTCGATGTCAGGTCCACTCGAAACTTGGTTTCTAATCTCGGGTTGTGTTGAATAAGCAGTTGGATGAAAGGGATCTTTCCTAGCACTACAGCAAGATGGAAAGCCGTCAAGTCGATCTGAAGTTGTGTACTACTTGATCTATCCTCACTGCGGATGTAAACCTTGCCCTCCTTTTCCACATCCATTTGATTTAGTAGCAGAAGGAGGATTGCCTCATCTGATATCAGGACTGCTATGTGAAGGGCCGTGAGCGTGACTTTTGATTTATCACCCAAGCGCACCTCAAGTTTCGAGCCAACATCAGCTCCCATCTGAATGATATGCGCAACAACGTCTTCACTACCTGACAAGACGGCCAGGTGTAGGAGTGAAACTTGGAGGAATAGATTTCCCGGTAGTTGAATGGCGCATACCTCATTGACATCGAAGCTGTTCAGAGAAAGAAGGAAGAGCATCATAGATGTCTTTTGAAGCAACGCTGCCATGAACAATGTCGATGATTGCACATCCATGTCGCCGACCTTGATTCGTAAACGTGCCTCAGCGATCGCCGCAAGATGCTTGTGCGGCACGACTGACAGAGGTAGGAGAGGCAGAATGGGCAGCTCGATGCGAACAGAATCCCCGGACTGGAAGGTGCACATTTGATTCAGGTCCGGTAATATATTGAGAAGATGTCGGATGACGGTCTCATTCATTGTCAGAGTTGCCAGATGTAGATAAGGCAGCTCCAGATGAAACCTCGCGCTTTCGACGGTGCACACCACATCAAAATCGATTTCTCGTTGGGAAAGATGTAACACCAGGGCTTCATTCCGAGATAATGCTGCCAGCCAGGGTACCGAACAGACGATCTTAAAATCTTGCCCGTACTTCAACGAGAAGATGTTGTCGATGCGAGCACCGAATTGAAGCAATACTCGCACGGCCGTCGTGTCCCCAACAAAGATAGCAAGATGAAGGAGTGATAGATTGACGTGCACCGCATCAATATCATAGCTGTAGACGGTATTGGGATCAATCCCGGTTTTGAGGAGGTGGCGTATCGCGACGTGGTTTTGAAAGAGAACTGCCAGGACAATTGATGGGATATCAAAAGCTTTTCCTTCCTTGAGAAGCACCCGACAATTTCTGCGTACATCAGCCCTTCTGCCCAGTAATAGCTCAATGATCTCTGTATGTCCACATATTACTGCCAGCTGAATCACGGTGCATTCAGCCTCGAAACCTTCAGCGATCTCGAGCATGCAGGGCTGATTCACATCAATTGGGGCTTCCAGCAGTGCACGAACAACCGCTTCGTGGCCCGAAAGCACCGCCACATGCAAGCATGTAAAGCCATATCCACTAAGTGCCCTTGACCCTATCTGTATATCAATTCGGCATGTGGCGTTAGTATCAGCCTCTTTCTTGAGAAGATATCGAACGATATCTTCGTGGTCGCAAGTCGTCCCACAGCGAACTGATGATAACTCGTCCAGCACCTCAAGAACGATTGAGGCGGGGCTCGCATATTCGTCTTTCGATTTGTTGAACCATTTTTTGAAAGTGGAAGACCATCTCGAAAGAGCCCTCTTCATTGTAGTCCATGGCCAATCGAATCCCGTTATAGTTTCAAAGGCGTCTGCGTATGATCCTTGTGGTGCCTCGGGCTGTGCTTTTTGCAGTATGAGTTCCATGGATTTGAAGATCTCCGTTAGGTCCTCTTGAAGCTCAGCAGCCATCTTCCGCAGCTTGGAGGGCTTGACACGAATATTCAACCTCCTTGGTGCGTCTAGATCATGTCTCTTGACAGAGGCCCAGTGTAGGGGCGTCCAACCATCGCAGGTTGCCGCATCTTTATCCGCGTTGGCTTTCAATAGTATATCTGTCAACTCTTTGTGACCCTGTCCCACAGCGCAGTGCAGCGGCGTCAAACCTTTCTTTCCTTTACTATTAACACCAACTGCGAGTTTACATGTATGCAAGAGAAACCGCAGAATCTCCTCATTGCCCGTCCAGGCCACGATATGCAATACATTCCACATATTGCTGTCCCTTGTACCTGCGTCGAATTCGTTTTCCAACAATAGTTTCACGATCGAGGCGTGGCTATTCAGAGCCGCAAGATGGAGCGCCGTTTGACCGTGATGGTCAAGTCTGACAGGGGTAATCGCTTTGCTTTTCAAAAGGATATCGACTATGGATTCATGACCCCTCCAGGCAGCGATGTGGAGTGCTGTCCATCCATTCTTGAAATCTTTGCGGTTGAAACTGGCCCCCTTCTCCAAGAGAAGCTCTACGCATGCAGGATGACCGTTTTCGGTCGCAACATGCAGTGCTGTTTGTCCTCTTGAGTCGGTAGCTTCAATGTCGCCTCCGAGTTCCAGAATATCGCAGATGAGGTTTCCTAGACCAAAGGATGCAGCTATCTCTATAGGCGACACATTTCGAGTACGTTGCGCGCTGAACATTGGGTGGAGCTGCTTGACTCTCTGAAGAAGATTGCGGACTTGTGGGTCCATCAAAAAGGATAGTGCCTTGCTTCTCACATCGGCTTGAGCCTCTAACCTCAAGCGAACATGGTCTCCCCAATGCTGCGCAGCATATTTGACAAGGGGGAATTGCCTCAACGTTTGTTCAAAAGCAGCCTCGTCGTCATAGGAAGCACTTGACAAGTCGAGGCTTGACAAGTACGCAATGCACGTCGATGCAATCTCTGAATCGGGGGTATCCAACCAGTCCTGGCCAGTACTTTCGAAATACTCCTTAATGGTGTGATGCGAGACGCGAACAAGGGTGTTCTCGTCCACGAATATCAAGCCGGCGCACATAGTGACCAAACTTTCTTTGGTCTCAAAGCAGTTTCCACTGTGGTTGCGCCCCTGCATGAAGTGTATGGCATGACAGAGCTCCTCTAGGGTCAAAGGACGTTGGACCTGAGTGACCCAAGCCAGTGCTTTCCTCGCCCAGTCTTGGACAAGCTCGCTCTGTCGGTCTATTCTTTTGGCCGTTGACCGGTATAGGTCACTGAGCGCGGTCATCTTTGTCTCTTCTAACGAGCACTCGAGGCCCTCACATCTCAAAGTCTCACAATAGTCATCGATCTGAAGTTTGGCAAGCAGAAAGCTACGCAGTATGTCAGCGCCCACTTCGAGTCAGGTGCAGATCGTCTACTTACCACCCACTGAAAAGGCCTGTCACCCTCTGTCTTATGCGATCTTCGATTTCACGGCGCGTGTCTGGTGAGGTATCCTTCCCTTGCGCTGTGAGTGCCCTAACCTGAGCCTTCAAGTACTGTTCCAACTCGGCGGGATCAGGCTGGATCTGTATCTCTTCCGAAGGTTGCGCGAGGGCAATTGAAGTCACCCTCGTGGTGATCATTACCCGCACAGAAGCATTTTGAAGTCCCTTCAGAGCACGTAGAAGTTCGTCCTGCACGCCCCAACTGCATTCATCAATACCATCGACCACCAGAGAGACTGCATAGGTTGATGATATCTGATACAGAAGGCTCATGATTTCACCCCGGTGCGGCTTGCGAGAATGACGATGGCGCGTAAACAAAGCTTCCAAGTCACTGGGCAGATCAGAATGCTCGGATATCAGTTGAATCAATAGCACCGATAGCAGATGATTTAGCGTCTGCTCTTCGGAATTATCGTTGCGACAGTAGATATAGGATACTCGCGGAGCGCCGAGGGTTGATTCTTGCTTCTTTCCATAACGGAAGGACTGGATTAGGTGATGGATGACAGTCGTACTGATTGTCGTCTTCCCGGATCCGGGAATCCCATGGCAGACTAGCCCTGTCCCTGGTTCTTGGATCCAATTTGTGAACGCCTTCGTTTTTAGAAACCATTCGCCTGTGCTTTGCTGGCGTTCCTGGAACCCATGATTGTAAGGTGACATGCAAGAGCAATCCCTCAGATTGGCTAATCCGGTAAGCCACTCGAATACTGCGGTTCTATCTCTATCTTTACCAGATATTAGTTTCAGGTTCTAGGCTCAATCGACAACTTGATGGGAGAGCAAGAGAGCAAAACCTTTTTGGGCGATAAAAACGTGATCAACCTCATCTCTTATTCCCGACAGCGTGTTATCAACTGACCAAGGTTAGTCTAGTCTAAGTGATCAAGAATCATAGTTCGAGTTATGCCCAGCAGATAACCTGCTTTTATTCAAGGGATGATCCATTCTGAGCACTTGAGTGGACGAAGGGAAACATATCATATGAACTAACTCTTAGCCAATGCCGGAGAGTACTGGACCTGCTCAGCGGGCATAGAGAGCAGGAGATCCTTAGCATACGCTGCCGCTGTTAGGGAAGCATAACCTTGCCAGTTATCATTCTTCTGTCCGTCCGCGAAGTCACTAATCCCACGAATGACCAGACAGGGGAAATAATTCATTAGGCCGTAAGCCTCCATTTCCACACAACAGGCATCAAATGTCTCGCCGATCCGATCTCGAACCGATGCCGACTTTATAACTTTGCTGCCTGAAGCAATAATACCATAATGAATCTCTGGATCGGGTCGGGTCTGATTTGTATCACATTCCTCGCAGCCTCCGGGTGGTCGGGAGCACCCTGAACCTGCCTCGGGTCCTTGGTAAGCGAATTGGGCCCGTAATCTCGGGGGAACATTCCGGGGATGCTGGACGAGGGAATGGACGTGGCCTTCGGACATCGCGTGTAACACCTGCAGATATTTGATGGCCCCCAGGAGCGTGACGTGGGGCTGGTTCAACGTCCCCTTCAGCTTGAATCCATCCTCTTCCTCCTTGCCGATATCGATCTGTCGCACCCCGGAACACTCATCTGTGGGCACACTGACCACGATATCCCCGAGCTGGATGTCGTATTTCGGGCGGGGAATGCCTCCGCCGATGCCGACCATGAATATATATCGGATCGAGGGAAAGGTGCGCGTGAGATTGGTGGCTGCTTGGCCCGCCGCCACCCCGCCTGCTTCGGGGAGAATCGTGATCACCACATGATGCTCTCCCATTCTCCCGCAGACGTAGGAGTTCTTGTCATCGGGGATGCGTCGGGTCGGGCCTCGATTCTTCTGGTCAAACATCATTCTCGCCGCTATCGCCTCTATCGTGAGTGCGGAGATCCACCCGATCGTGTATTCTTCGACGGGTACGTCCATCTGCTCGAAAGTGTCGGTCTGTATCAAAATCAGGATCGACTTTGAGAGATATAAACACAGAAAGAGTTATGATAAGTTTTGCTTCTGCACAAAAAAAGATATCAAAGGCCAGCCTCTGCTTGACTTCCCTGCTGAGAGCGGGGTATGTGATGGTTATAGCAACCATGGTGGGTGTTAGCGTACGGTACGTTTGCCAGTGGGGTGGCCACTGCAGGCCCGCCACGGCCTGCATAGCTGCCTTCAAAAACAGGCTTGCTGGTCGCCATACTGAAACTGGAATCTGGTATGTTTGCTCGCAAGTGTTGTACTGTACTGTACATACCTACGTATGCCTGATTCGGTAACGGGTAAAGGTCTTAGACACCAACCATGCTTCCGACAAACCCGGGCGCTTATCACTCGAAATATGTAGAGAAAATGGGAGCAGCCGCCCGGTGAAAACAAGTTCTACCAGCAAAAAAACAACCCAAAGAATTAATAACCTCAACAACCTTACCAAAAAAGAACAGTAAAAGGTATCCTCTAATACAGATTGTTATTAATAACAACTTCAGGAAGCCAAGAGACTGCAAGACCAAGTGAGAATGCAGATTCAGCATATTCTGAACACTCGTATACGCTCAGCAGCATGGCGGATCTGGCGTTGAACTATGAAAGCCAAGGCCAATGGACTGAGGCCGATAGGCTGCAAGTGGAAGTCTGAGAGAAAAGAAAGGCTTCGCTGGGGTCACAGCACCCCCGACATTCACCAAGTCATGGCAGATCTGGCATCTACCTTCCGAAATTATTATCGACGGCAAGAAGCCGAAGATCGACATCAAGAAGCATTGGAGACCAGGAGATCATTTCTAGGGCCCAACATCCCCATCCCCTCAGCAGCATGGCCGAACCGGCATCAAGCTACTGGCTCCAAGGGCAACGGACCGAGGCCGAGAGCCTACGGGCCACTTTGACGGAGCTAACTACAAGAGAATACGGACTCGGAAGTTCTACTACCTGGAACTTTATGCTGAACTTGGCAGCAACGCACTCGAATCAAGGTCGTCACGCGGAGGCGGAAGAATTCAGCAAACAAGTCCTAGACAAAAGGAAAGGCCATTCTCGGCACTGCGCATCCCCATACCTTGCAGAAGCATGCGAAGCTTAGGCTTGATTCACAGCGAGCAGAAGCGGTGGAATCAAGCTCAGATGCTCGAAGCGGAGATGCTGGAAACCATCAAGCGGGTACTGGGACGTGGAGATCGTTGAACAGACAATCACTTGGCAAGAGCAACACTCCACAACATACAAAGCCAGTCTTCCTTTACCCCCATAGCACGAAGACAGGCGAATTCATGCAGCAGTTGGGGTTAATGCCCATTCCAGGAGCCAGTAACACGCCCATGATTACGTAAATAGAAAGACATGCATATACCCACACATTTTTCGCCAAATCCACTCACTTTTTCTTGCTTGCAGAACATTAATCCTCGTGCCGCGAGATTGGGACGTGCAAGTACCACACTTTACTCTGATCAAATAGCTCAGTCAGAATATTATTTGCCGTGGCCATGTTGAAGGAAGAAACTGGCAGAGTTAGCTTCTGCTTCGAAAGTTGCGAGTGTTAACTCGTTCTGGGGAGATATAACCATTCCTTTAGCCTCCGTATATCTTTAATCTTCACATATATGATCGAATTCTGTCGAGTGAGTTTAAATGAAACTTAGCTTCAATAATTGAATAAAGCATTCAACTTGTTCTCCAGAAAGTACCCATACGCTCTGGCCGAGGCATGCATCTTCAGGAATAAGCGAACTTCCCTGCGAGCTACAGCAACATTAATCAATTAAAAAGATGGTCGAGAATCCGCAAAAGATATAATGCTAGTAGATATTTCATTTGACTTTCAAGGACATAAAAGGCTCTATGGAATGCGCTCAAGTTAGAGAGGCTGGAGAGGTTCGAAGAGGTCTTCAATAGTGAGCCATTAAAGCCTACTTCAATCTTATATACCAAGGCCTGAATTGTTGACCTTTGATTTATTATCAGGTGCGGAGAAATCTTCCCATATTTCATTTTTGATCAACTGTAGGAATCCTCAAGCTATTATTGACTTGATTAAGATGCTCTTGCTCACATACTCATAATAACAATAACTAGTTCTAACAGATAGATTACCAAAATTTAAAGAATCTATGGGTGCCTCGAATGAAGCTATTTACTATTTTTCTGAGCTGACAGGTAACTTAAATGCTGAAATAATTCTATGTTTTAGTATAAATGTAGGCCCCACAGCCCTTTGAGAGCCAAGCCTGCCTTTTGATGTCGGGAAATCGAGTTTAGCGACTGTTGGAGGCAGAAGTCGATTTATTTTTGTAGAATGTAGCTGATATCAACAGTCCATGTTCAATCAACTTCTGGTAAGAAGACCAGGATGAAAAAAGAGTATGCAGATACATAAAGATGGGAAACACGGTAGCGAGTTCGCGACGCGCTGATGGAGCGTCAACCAGAGGGCGCTTGGTGTTTCCTGCCACACTTGCACTGTCCTATGTCTGTTTTGTGAGCTTCCCGTTTCTTGATGCGACTGCTGGGCAGCACAGTACGTATTTAGCTCGGTCCGTATCAAGGCAGGTAAGGTAGGCTTTCATCGTTGCCTCATGCCTCAAACAATACATTTACCGAACAAGTCTTACAGGATCCATCTTACAAGCTCAGACCGGAATCCATTGAGAAAAAACGCAGCCAACCGGCATGCCATGTCTTCACGGCAAATGTGCAGATGACTCTCCCTCTCGGTGCGCCCAAGCCCTTGAACCCTGTCCGCCGTCGGAGGCAATCCCGTTTATCCGTCGTCCATGGTTAATTCGACGCCCGTCTGGCAATTTAGCCATGCGCGGGGAAATTGATCTGCAGGTACAGTGTGTATGTACTACTCATCGCATACAGTACTTCGACTCGCCAATTTGTTTGTCTTGGGTGGTTGATAAGTGCTGGTGCGGAGGAGGATCAAAGCTTGCTCTTTTTCGTGCAGTCCTTCATACCTTTTGCGGACTTCAAACCACAGAGAAGAGATGCTCGTCATGGTAAGCCTAGATCATTCCTTTCGGTATAACCACAATGGCACAAATGTATACGGCGGAGCTTTCCATTCTCGAAGCGGACCGGAGATCTGTCTTGGCCGGAGCGACGTACGACCGATCAACCACCCCCCGTGGGGAATCAAGCTTAGTTCTGATGAGCACCTCAGTCTTGAAGAGCAGCTGACAAGAACCCAACCGCGTCTTCGGACCTGCACTGATCTCTTCAATGCGATAATGCTGCACATTCTTGCGTCAGTTACCCCGGCCTTTTTCTTGGCTAGCCACACAACCCTACCATTCACGAGCGGAGATAGTATTCCAAGGCCTTGGCTCTGGAGTAGCAAGACGAATCTTTGAAGTCTTTCTTGCTGAGGTATTTCTCCCCGCCCGTATGCTCGAGCACACGATCCCGTCCTTGGTTCTCAGTCAGCGGGATACACGTAGCTCTTGGCTCTATAGGTCGCACGCCGCGGACCCTTTGCGGGGGAAGCTCCGTGAATCGGATTCTGGAAGAGAGGAAAGGATGTAGTGGATGAAGATATAAATGTCGTACTCATCCTAGTGAAGACAGTTCTAGTGAAGACAGTTGAATCGACAGCTTCATCTATAACAAGCTCGTGTTAGCATTGATCTGACGAACAACTTGAATAATATCAACATGCTTGTCAAACTCATCTCTTTTCTTTCAGCTGCTACCAGCGTAGCTGCTCATGGTCATGTGTCAAACATTGTGATCAACGGGGTGTCCTACCGCGGATGGGACATCAATTCGGACCCTTACAATTCCAACCCTCCGGTGGTGGTTGCATGGCAAACACCCAACACAGCTAATGGCTTCATCTCCCCTGATGCATACGACACAGATGATGTTATTTGCCATCTGAGCGCTACGAATGCCAGAGGCCACGCAGTCGTCGCTGCTGGCGACAAGATCAGCCTCCAGTGGACGACCTGGCCTGACAGTCACCATGGCCCTGTCATCAGCTACCTAGCCAACTGCGGCTCCAGCTGCGAGACAGTCGATAAGACCACCCTCGAGTTCTTCAAGATCGATGGTGTTGGCTTGGTGGATGAGAGCAATCCCCCTGGTATCTGGGGAGACGATGAGCTCATTGCCAACAACAACTCTTGGCTGGTAGAGATTCCAGCTAGTATCGCGCCAGGATACTATGTGCTGCGTCACGAGTTGATCGCTCTGCATGGAGCAGGGAGTGAGAATGGAGCCCAGAATTACATGCAATGTTTCAACCTTCAGGTTACTGGGACTGGCACGGTCCAGCCTTCCGGGGTCCTGGGCACGGAGCTGTACAAACCCACAGACGCTGGAATTCTTGTCAATATCTACCAGTCGCTCTCCACCTATGTTGTTCCTGGCCCGACCCTGATCCCCCAGGCCGTTTCCCTCGTTCAGTCGAGCTCCACCATTACCGCCTCGGGCACGGCAGTGACAACCACGGCTTGAGCGGCGACTGCAAACGTTCGACAACCGTCGTGTCTAGTACAGACTCGGTTGACAAGATCGTTGTGAGATTTTTGCTGGAGCGAAGAGATGAACTGTAGCTGTTTCTGAAGCGCATGAAGGGGTTCTGTTTCTTCTTGGCCAAACAGGGAGATGTTTTGTTGCGAATGTTTCTACCACCACTCGTTCGTACATATAGTTGCCAACAGGAAGTGTTGTTATACCACAATCATTCAAGACAAACTCAACGAATATGCTGTGAATTGCGCAATATACACTTTGACTCCGTAAGATACCCATTAGTAGACTCCTGCAGGGGCAGTAATGCGGCTCCATGTCTGCCGTGTGTTGCTGCATTGCTGCAAGGAGGCGGTCGGGTGGTGAATAGTCCTCACAAAATTTGCTTCACAATAGCGTAAAAGCGGGATCCGTCAGCTTATCACGGGTTGGAGCTACGCTACCGTACTGTGTTCCAGCTCTCGATCGAATTGCTCCAGCATCGTACTCAACCTGGTCCTTATCAATCGCGCGGTACGGGCGGTCGGAAAAAGTGACCCACAGGCTGCACGATTCCCCAATACATCTCACTGAGAGTCGTTCACATGAAGTAATCTGCTGTCATACTGACAAGTGTGGTGCAAGCAGATGAACCGGGGTCACGAAGGGGGTCCGACCGCTGGTGGAGTGCACTAGACCGGCATTGATTAGTCTTGCATTGTTGTTTGCTTATCGACTATAATCAGATTGAACCAGCAATTAACACAGACAGACCCTGCTTAGAGATGCAGCTGAGCTAAGAGCTGGTCGACTAGGAGTAGGTGCTGTGTGGGGGAGGCCACAGGAATGGGACTCACATTGCCACCGACTATCTCGTTGCAGACGTCAGCTGGGCTTGTCTTGACCGGTGCCTCAAAAAGCTAAGCGCCACATTCCTTCCACTCACACGCCTCGACTCCTGTTGGGAAAATTCCGCTGCTGCGAATCACGTTTCCGTCAAGCTTTGTGGAGACCGGAGAATGCGACGCTTAGCACTTCGGAGATAGAAAGCAAAGAGCTGCAACGGCCGCATCATATACAAACGCTGCAAACCATGGAAGCTGACACTTCGCTTTTCGAGTTGGTGTGAAGTCTTTTTGCTGTCTCATTGCCTGGACTATTTTCGAAGCGACCAGTGCAGTGGGTGAGGAGGAAAAGGCAGTTGAGGCCTTCCCCACAGATCCGGGGTTGTGAGGAGGAAAGACCGAAGTGGGTCAAACCGCCCGGTCGTCCGGGGCAGATTGACTAAAAGGGCAAGATCCGAGTCACTCTTCCAGCACGCTTAATTCCGTCTTTTCTGTTCGCTTCAGCCATCGCCACCTTCCACATCACATTGATTGGGCAAGCGAGGGGTTGAGAATGCTGTTTGTGGGGATCTCACCCATCCCCACGCTCCTCTCCACACCTCGTGTCCAGCTATCGCCTCCTCTCACTGGCTGATGGCCCACCCCCAGACATACGTACGCAAACCCCGGACCTCGCTCAACCCTGCAATCTTGATGCATTGCCCGTCAGAGCAATTAGCGCTTGTTCAACTTGCTTCTAGCTGCGGATTATGCGGAGAAGGACCGTGAGCAATGGCCGTTTCGCTTATAAACCTGGACGGCCCTTATCTGGGGTCCAGTTCTTCACACCCCTTCCAGTCTCTTTCCTCGAGAAATCTCTTGACAATTCGTCCAACGATCGTGGTCCCTGTCAGGAATAGCCTTTCCACCATCACAACCTCAATCAATCGATAACTTCCGCTCAACAAGAGGAGTTATGCCCTCCATCGAAATGACGGAGGACGTTCGTCCTTCCTCCTCGCCCAAAACCCACGAAGAAACAAAAATCGAGAAAGATAGCAGCGAATACTTTGAGAAAGTTGAAGAGGGACCCTCTTCCTATGCCGAGATTGCCGCCGCTTCCCTGTCACAATCACACAAAGACTATCTTATCCAGC